CCCTGCTGAGCCTGGGGTGCTGCTCCTCAGAGCACATCACTGTGGGCTCACTCTGTCCCTCCTCCCAGAAGCACTGCTGCGAACAGGGCATTGTACAGAGACTCCCCAGAAGCCAGCACAGAAGTGAGCAGGCAGGTGGGGTCAGGCCGCTAAGGAGGAGAAAGGAAGCCACAAGCTCCCAGCGAGCTGGCCCAAGCCTTCTTCCCAGCCGATGCAGGTGCGCTCTGCCTCCCTGGTTCACCGGTGCCCTGGGAGGAGCCTCAGGCTGAGAGGCATTGTTTCCCCTTGTCCAGGGCTCCAGTCGCCACCTTCTCAGTCTCCCAGGATCAGACAGTCTGAAAATATCAATGGAAAACTCCAGAAACAATTCTTAAGTTTTAAAAGCAAGCTGCTCAGAGGAGTGCCGTGTAATCTCTCACCCTCGATGCCCTGCGCCCTGCCTGGGTTGATGCTTGGCAGGATCCTCACGTGGTATATGCTACCCACCTGTTAGTGACTCCAGAGCTGGCTCAGGTTCACTTCAGCAGCTGTAGTGTGAGTGCCTATTTGTGTTAACCCTCATTTTAGTTAATAATGGTCCCAAAGTGCAGGATTAGTAATGTTGGAAACTTCAGTATGCCAAAGAGAAGCTGTGAGCATTCGTGTAGAAGACGTGGGATTCAGTGTTGTGGTTTCCTCAGGGGTCTTGGGACGTCCCTGTCATGGATGAGCGGAGAGCTCCGTGGATGCATCTCCTCACTTGGAGGAAGGCGCAGTCCTGGTGCAGTGACCCGGGGCGGGGGCTGGGCAGTGGAGGGTTGGATGGAGGCTGTGTGACTCATGGGAAGCTGCCGGGCATCAGGACCATCTCCTCTCCCCTGGCCCGCAGCAGGGAGACCCTGAGAGGTGCTGTGACCCCTGCTCTTCCAGGGGCCAGCTGCAGTCAGACCTCCTGGGACCCAGACCTGCCAGCCCCCACCCCATGCCTGATGGCTGTGCCTGGAACAGATCCTTAGGACAAGAGGCGCCAATGGGAAGGCCCCTGGCGGTCCTCATGGAGCGGAGAGAGTGGGTCGAAGGAAGGTGAGGGCCAGGTATAGGCAGGACTATGGGGGTGCTTTGGGGGCTGCCCCTGACTGACCCATTCAGCCTGGTCTTGGTGCTTCTGCATCTCTGCTCCATTTGCTTTGCCTGGGTCCTGGGCCAGCCCTGGGCCTTGGGGCTATACCTGAGCGGTGGGGAGCTCCTGAAGCCTTTACCAGTGAGACACACTGTGCAGGAAAGAGTCCCATTACTGTCACACAGACACCTCAGACCCTACACCACCCCACTAGGGTGCAGCCCCTCACGTACCTCCTCTGCCACTGTATCTCTGGTCACCTGGTCTCAAAGCAGAGACCAGGCACCATCCCTGCCCCATCCTCCCCACCCCCCAATCCCTGAGTCACCTCTGCTCCCTGCCACCCCCAGGTTCTGACTCCTGACACTGCCGCAGCTGCCCTGGCTGTCCCTTGTCCCCTCCCTGTCTCCTCCCTCCTCACTAGCCAGGGTGGCTCTGGCTAACAATCCCATGGGCCCTGCCCTGCTGCTGGTCACAGCCTCTCGTATGGTCCAGACCCAGTGAGGACCCTGGCCCGTGGCTCCATTGTGCCCACCTGAGACAGGCTGGACCTTGACAGGCTTGGGGTGGGCGGAGGGGAGGGAAGGGGAAGGTGCGGTTGGCCCTCCATACCTGTGGCTCAGCTCCTGCAGGCTCCTCCAAGGGGTGCCAAGGGGTGACGTCTGTACTGAGCATGCACCGTCCCCCACACCATGCAGCACAGTGGCTGTCCACGTGGTGTCTGCTTTGTGTGTGAGGTCAGGGATTTGGAGGTGATGTGAAGCCGGGGAGGGGGGAGATGCTGTGCACTGCGGTTTCACTTTACAGGAAGGGTGTAGGCACCCTGCTCTCCGTGGGCATCAGGCAACACCTCACCTTGTCACTCAGAGCTCGGCCTCAGAGTTCACTCTGGACTCCTGAACTCTGACCCATTCCTTTCCTCAGTTTGCTGGGTCGCCCCACATCCATCCCCTTGCAATGTGCAGCACAGGGTCCCTGTTTATGAAGTCCCCCCTGCCCGGAGCTCCCCCTGCCTGGGATCAAGTCCTCCAGTCCTCTTCTCTGCCCTGGCCTGGGGCAGCACCCTAAACCCTGAAACTAGGAGATGAATTCCGGACCAACCCTTTCAGCAGCACGAATGCCTCCAGGGTGGAGAACTCGGGTGGCTGTCTGCCTTCTTGGAACGGGTGAGGAACAAAACAAGGCAAGAACAAATCAATATTTCATCGAATTATCCTGCCACGGTAACAAGGTCACATTGGTGGCCACGAGGGGCGAGACCCTGACAGGGAGCGTCTGGAGGGAGCTGCCCAGTGACGGCCACGCCCAGGCTGGCAGAGCCCAGGGAGGCTTCACCCTGGGTCTCTCTCCAGGAGACCTGGGAGGGGCGCCTTCCTCCAGGCAGCCCTTCCTGTTAGCCTGCATCTTTGTGAAATGTGGGTTGATGAGTGCCTGAGACCCCCAGCCTAGCAGCAGATGCCACCTCCTCCTGCTGGGCCTGGGTTCTCAGTTGCCCCCCTGTCCTCACCGCTCCTCATTGGCCAGCACTGTCAGGAAACGTCCCACCATGGCGCGTCCCTTTGGAACCCGCAGACCCATTGCTCTGGTTTATGTCACCTCTGGCACCCATCCAGGACGTGGGTCGCAGTGTTCTTCCGATGCTCCCTGGAATGCAGGCTCTGTCTGCGTGGCCGCAGCCTTTGGGCTGGGTGAGACACCTTCTGTGCTGACCCTTTTCTGTGGCCCTAGACTGACATTTAAGCTCAGGTTGCACGGGCCCACACTCTAGGGCGTGGGCAGACTGGCTCCTGAGGCTGTGAGGGTCCCTGGGTCCACAGTGAGGAGGGAGAGGCTCCTATTTGCTCCTCCTGAGCTGTGGCCTGTCCAGGGCGCCCGGAAGTGGCTACCACCAGGCAGGGAGAGTCTGAGGGTCTGGCTTGGATATGATGCAAATATCTGCTTCCTTGCTGGGCAGCTCCTTCATGGGCTGGGCTGGCCACCATTAGGCTGCAGAAACAACAAAGCCCCACATCCCACATCCCACATCCCATAGCCCAGCGGCTTTAAACAGCAAAGAGTCATTTCCTGCTCGCTCTGTTTGCTGTGAGTCTAGGGTACCAACCACGTCTCGCAGGCCAGAGTGACAGAGCAGCGCTCCAGATGCTACTGGATCCCCTGCCAGGAGAAGGTGCCCCAAGGGTCCACGTGGACCCAAACACTTGGCCAAGGAGACCTGCACCCTTTTGCTATCATCTCCTTGGCCAGAGCTGCTGATGCTCCTCCCTGTCACAAGGGGACAGGAGCGCCCCTCCCCGGCCGCCTCCTGCTGCCCCTGAGCTGTCCTCCCGTGTCAGACCAGCCCCAGTCTCTGGTTTGTGAGTCACTTCGCTAGGGCTCGCTGCCATCCTGTTATAGTGAGCAGCTGAGGACAGCGACGTCACAGTGGGCCCTGTGCTTAGGACTCGGGAACTGGTCTGGCATCATGTGAGCCGCAGACGTGGGTGACACAGGGACCCTGGCAGTGTCTTCCCTTCCTTGGCCTCGTTCTTCTGGAACTGTCTTGCTCACTAACGGTTCCCTGCCTCTGCTCTTTGCAACTTACTGTGGCTGTCCTGTCACTCCTCTGTGTCCGAGGGGAACTGGCTCCAGGACCCTCAGGGATGCCCAAGTCCCATGCATAAAATGGTATTGTGTTGGCATAAAACCTGTGCACATCACTGTGGTTTGCACCATCTCTAGGTGACTTCGTAATACGTGATACAGTGTAAATGCTCTGTAGAAAGCTCCCGTCCCGTATTATTTAGAGAATAACAAGGAAAAGGCCTGTGCGCGCTCGGTACAGAGGTGGTGTTTCCCAGACATTTTCAGCTAGAGGTTGGTGGACTCTGGTTTAGAGTGGAGGGAGCAGTGCTCTGGGTACCTTTGTGCAAGAGAAGCAGCAGAGCCTCCTACGGCCGGGCCTGGAGTGTGCCTCTCTGCCTTACTGACCCGTGTCTCCTGGAAGAAGAGCAGGAACGCGCCCAGGGCTCTGACACAGTGTCAGCTCTGTGGAAGGGAATTTCTCCGGAGGGGGAGAAGGGAGTGGGAGCCAAAACCAGACGCCTGCCCTGAGGGTCTGGAGAGGGAAGGAGTGGCCGTCACAGGACCCCTTCTTCACGCTGAATGGTGCCTTCTGGTTGGGGGAGGCAGTTTAGGGTGCTGGGTGAACAGAGTCCGGCTTTAGCTCTCCTGGGTTCAGATCTGATCTCTTCCGCTTCCCAGGCACATGAGTTGGGGACACAACTTCTCTGCCCTTGCAGGGGTGCACACCAATGCCAGGGTGAGGAGCGGCTGTCCAGGACCGTGGGTCACTGCCAGCCGTGGCTACTGAGTGCGTGTCAGGATCCACGATGGAATGTGGTGGTTGCCAGTGGCTTCCCATCCGTGGATCCTGTGTAAATGTTCTGTTTTGCTCCTGCTCTTCACACAACCCCTCCAGAGCAGGGGCCTTTTCCTGTCATCGCTGCTGAGTGGTCACAACCGTCTAATGGGAAAACACAAGGCCATCTGCCCTTTCTCTGGGGGCGCACCCCCACAGGGATTGCCACCACTCCTGCTGGAACCCCTGAACTCTTTGGGTGAGATCCACATGCGCTCGCCTGCTGTCCCCAGCTCACCCCGGATAGGTCCCTGGTAGAATGCAGGGACTGCTGGAGTGGGCGGGTGAATTCATTGAGTGGGGGAGGCCTTAGATGACTCCTGAACTTTGCTTCCATGTCCTGCCTGCACACTGTGCATGCCTGCAGGTGACTGGAGCCGAGTGACAGGCGGGTCCAAGAGTGCCTGAGAAGGGCTTGGTGTCACCCAGACCCGACCCCATGTCAGCACAGCAGCCGGCTTGTCCCCAACAACATAGCCCCTCTCTCCCCTCATGCCCCTGCAGTCCATGAGCCTCATCGAGATTGGAAACCCCTCACAGAGCCTGGAGAACGTCTGCCGCTGGGCCTACCTGCAGCAGAAGCCGGACACAGGCCACGACGAGTACCATGACCATGCCATCTTCCTCACGCGGCAGGACTTCGGGCCCTCGGGCATGCAAGGTAAGCCCCACTCTGCAGGCCTGTGGCTGGGAGACCCGCTGGGCTGCATGGGGCCTGCTGGAAGTGTCCAGGCAGGCAGGGCTGGGGCCACCTGAGCTGGGTGGGTGTTTTGTCGTTGATGATGACCTCCTGGCCCTGGAAACCACTGGGACCAGATGTGACCAGAGAGACAGGAACTGGGCCCAGGAGCCTAAACCTGGACAGCTTCTAAGAGTGGGTTTCAGAGGCATTGGCTTCCCCTGGCTTCTAAACAAATCTGAGTCCTTTGCCAGCCTTCCAAACTTGGGGATTTTTACATAAAGACTCAAATTGCATAAAAGAGAGTGAGAGAGAGAGAACACTATACTAAAGTAGTGGAGAATATATACTGTTTATGATGCATGTGAAAATATACCAACACAGAAGAAAATCCCAACAAAATGTAAAGGATCAAACTCCTGCAGGGTATATTCCCTGACCACACTGGAAAAGAATGATGAGAAACCCTAAATGATTTGGAAATTAAGTAGTATACTTATAAATGATTCATGAGTCAAACAAGAAATAGCAACAGAAATTAGACTATTTTTGTAGTTGAATGGTAATGATGCTATGACATATCAAAACTCATAAACCAATATAATTAGATTGGTAAAGCTTTTAATATGGTGATTGGGAAAATGGCTGAAAATCAATTGTACGTATATATCTCAAAAATTTAACAGAACATCAAATTAAATGCCACAGAAGCAGGAGGAAGAATATTAAAATAAGAGACAAATTATTCAAATGTAAAACAGTTGTAATAGAGAAAATCAATAGACCCAAATTTCAATTCTTTGAAAAACATGGTTTGAAATTGAAAATCCCGTGGCAATGCTAATTTTAAAAAAGAAAGTACAAATCGTTATGCACCCTACAGAATTTTAAAAGATGGAAAGTATTTTGAACAGCTTTATATCAGTGAAATATAAAATCTGAGAAAATAACAGTGCCATATCTATTAAAGAAATTAAATGTATAATTAAAAGCTTACTTCAAATTTCAGGAGTTAATAGTTTTGCCAGGTAATTCTTCACGGTGTTTAAGGAATAATAGCACCAATACAGAACAATAATAATTGTTATAACCAATAATAACACACAAACCTCTAGAGAATGGAAACAAACAGTTTCCAACTAATTTTATGAGACCAGCATAAGCTTGAGAGCAAAATTCAAGAAAGAAATTACAGAGAAAACCCATAAAGGGTCATATCACTCACAAATATAAATTCAAAATCTCAAAATGTTAGCAAATCTAGTCTGGAGCTAGATTTACTAAACGGCGCTGTGTCATAATTTGTTTAGTCTAGGAAGGCACAGTTGGTTTGATATCTGAGTCACTGTGATTCATCACATCAACAGAACAGGGAGACCATTATACGGTCATCTCAGCTCATCCAGAAAAAGTTTCAACCACATCGAGATCCATATACAAATAAGTGTTCTATGGAGCTAGAAATAGAAAAAACTATCTTACTATGGTGTGGACAGTTGTGAAAAGCCCACCCAGACACCATGTGTAATGGTAAAGTGTTGAAAGCATTTCTTCTAGAGAGAGAGTAGGTGTGTCTGCCAGAGCCACTCCACTCAGCATTACAGTGAGGTCCTCGCCAGTGGACACGGCAGGAAAAAGAACTGCAAATATAAGTATCAGATAGGAAAAAATCACACCCTCATTTGAAGATGGTACTTTTGCATTCACAGAAAATCCTGAAGAAATTATCAAGGATTATGAGACTTACCAATTAATATGATCGTGGTTACTGGAAATGTTGATCACAAAAATCAAGTGAATTTCTGTATTTTTATAAAATAGAATTTTAGAAAGTTCCAAGTAATAAGTTCAACAAAATATAGCCAATGTCTAGACCAGAAAACCGTAAAGCTTTTTCGATAGAAATTGTGAAAGATAAAATAAAGGAAGGGATCCTCTCTAGGGCATTCTAATACGTTTAATTCCTGCAGGATATTTGGGGGATATTAGAACCAAACTGATTCTAATGTTTATATAAAAATGCAATAAGCTAAGAATAACCAAGAGCAAGAGCAAAATATTTAAAATGTATGAACATACAACAGTAAATGTCGATGTGAGGGTGGGCACACCTCACATACCATTAGAACAGAGCACTGAGTTGAGAACTGAACCTATGCGTGTTTGGACGCTTGGTTTATTTCAGTGGTGACCCTTCCCAGTACAGGATGAAGACAAACCTTTAAAGTGATGGTAGCATCAGCTGGACACCCACGCTGGGAAAGGAGCGAGGCGTGACCTCCCTGCTTTATGCTTTATACAGACACTGTCTCGTGAGAATTTCAGACCTAACTGTGAAGGGCGGACTAAAACCTACAGAGGGTAATACAGGCTGAGTGTCACTAACCTGAGAATCCAGAATCTCGAACTTTCTGCAAGCTGCTCTAGGACCCCCGAGGAGAAGATTGTGCAGGCGCCCGGACGGGCTGCAGTCGGATGCAGCGCAGCGAGGGGGAGCTGCCGTGTGCGCATGCGCGGTGCCTGCCAAGCGCCCCTGCGTCCCAGGTTTTGCCCTGGGGCTCGCCCTCGAGGCGTCCCACTGTGTTTATGAAAATACGCAAAACCTTGAAAAAACCTGAAACCCAAAACTTCTGGACCCAAAAATTTTGGATAAGGAGTCCTCAATCACTGTGGGAGAGAATCTCTGCATTCTGGGAATGTAGAGAAAATTTCGTTAAAAAGAAAAGAAAAGCACTGACTGGTGGGAAAAGCTTGGTAACATTGGCTGCATTAACACCAACAACTTCTGTTCCCTGAAGGCGCCATGAAGCCGTGGAGGTTCCGTTCATAGCAGATCTTAACTGAAGCCTCGTGTGGCGCACTCCTATGAATCAGTACTATGCTAAGGACGAATCCAGTAGAGCCATGAGCAGGGAACCTTGCCGGGCCCTAAATGAAGCATGCGTGACAGACCTGTGCAGGGGGTGGACCGCGGGGGCCTTGCAGGAGTGCAGTGTACCAGGGACACCGAGAAGGGCTGGGCGGTCCACAGCTGCCTGCTGCTCCTCCGTGCTCAGCAGCAGGACTGCGGCAGGGAGGAAACAGACACGACTTTCACATAAAGTGACCTCACAAAAACAGTCTGAAATGCAGAAGGACCGGAAGGACTGCCACTGAGTGCCAGACATTAAAGGACAAGAAACCGACAGCAGAGCAAAACAGGGCCAACGTGGGAAGTACACAGAAATCTTAAAACTGGACTCCAGAGCAAATGGAGCTAATTTAGAGGATGGAGAAGAGCATTTTATAAAGTAGTTTTCCAGAGATTTGAGAAACTACATCCACGAACCCACGATAGGTTGCTATGAACCGCTGGAGGGCAACAATATTTTTAAGACATTAAAGGCAGTGATAAGCAAAATAAAAAGTTCAAAAGCTAACACTGAAATTTATTTAAAAGGAAATACAAAAAGGCCAGCTCTCTGTTTAAAACAGAAGGATGTAAAGATTAAAATCAGCAAAGACTTAGAAGACACGGAGGCTCAGTCCGGGAGGTAAAACATCTACCTAATAAGATTTCCAGAAAGTGAGAACAAATGCAGAATCAGAAGTAAAACAAACAGAGTTTTTTCAGATATTTTTGTTTTCCAGCAGACAGTAGCTGCACCCTTTTTGCAATCTCAGCAGCTGCTGCAGTATTGAGCATGGGTGTCTGAAGGTGCTCACCCTCGGGATGCTCATGTGCCACCTACAATTCCCTCCAAGCCTGCAGAGCAAACAGTAAAGAGTCTCCCGTTTATCGCAAGAGGAAAGGGCAGTGGTCGGATTAGCATATTTGTACAGACAAGTCCAGAGCAACACGCCAAGGCTCAGTGTCTCTCCTCACTTCTGCTTCTGTTTTGTCCTTTAACTGTGCCACCTAGACATCTTGCAAGGGAGCGTGATGGGTATGAGCCAGCTCGAGCAGGGAGCCGGGGTTCTGATCAGGCAGGCTTCCGGGGAGCCCATGCGGATGAGCACGAACCTCTTGGGACACACAGCTCTGAGCGTGCTCCCCTGCCCTGTCCACACCTCCTCTCTCCCCTGAGATGAGAACCAGAAAACCAGAGGGGCCTGGGGAAGGGGCCCTCCCCATGGAGGTGGGCTCAGAGGCGGCAAGGCCAGGCGGGTGCAAGGCCAGGGCAGGGTGGTTCTGGAAGAGCAAGAGGTGTGGGGACAGCATGCTGCCGGAGGCCAGAAAGTTCCTCCAAAGGTGGGAGAGGCCCACAGGCAGGACGCTGTGGACATCCTGGCTGGTAGTTAGAGCTACAAAATCGACCACAATGTGAGCTTTGACAGGCAGGGCGGCCAAGGGCCTGGGCAGTGGCCGGCTGAGGTCTGGCATGCAGAGTGACTGTCTTCCAAGCTGCACCAGCAGGCAGCTCCTTAGCTCTGAACCGGACCCAGAAGAGAGTCAGGGCCAGGCCTGCCCCTCCCCGCACAGGCCCCATGTGAGTTTTACAGGGTCCCGGGCTGCCTCACATAGAGCTCGGGTCTGAGACTCTCCGAGTCACCTTTTATCCCCTCCCAGGCTATGCTCCTGTCACTGGGATGTGCCACCCCGTTCGCAGCTGCACCCTGAACCACGAAGATGGCTTTTCCTCGGCATTCGTTGTAGCGCATGAGACCGGCCACGTGTAAGTGCCTGGCCATGATTTCTGTCTGGGGACAGCCAGGGCTTGGAGAGGATCCCTGGATCCTCTACCCCTCTGCACACTTCCTGGCTGAGAGGGACAGCTGTGTATGACATTCTGTCCAGCACTGCCAGGGCGAGCTCCAGGTCCTCTTCTTACTGAAGGAGCAAATCAAGCGAGAAAGCCTGGAAGACCAAGCAGCTGCTTGGGCCCAGGGAGGCACTGGGGGCCTTGAGCCATTGTTCTATCCAAGCCGGGGAGGGGGGAGGGGCCTCCCCAAATTACAGGAGTCCTGGGGCCCCCCAAGCAGCTCTTCTGCCCAGCCTCTCGTGCCCGACACCTCTGAGCCCCTGCATCTCGCAGCTGGGTGGTGTTGACTGATGGGAGAGACAAGGTTCGTCCTGCCGGTGTGGAGGAGGTGCCCGGGATGCCATGGCCTGGCACATGCCACAGGCATCCCAGAGTCCACAAGACACAGTGGCCCTTGTTGGGGACAGGCTACCTGGGGGGCTGCTGCTGATGCCCCCTCCCCAGGGTAGCTCTAGCAGGCAGGAAACTGGTGGCACCAGCATAGATCAGGCCCTCCGAGTGTGGGGAGTCAGCATTGGCGGAGGGGGCCCCCCAGCTGTCCAGCCAGGCCCCTTTACTCTGCTCCTTGCACAGGCTGGGCATGGAACACGACGGGCAGGGCAACCGCTGTGGTGACGAGGTGCGCCTGGGCAGCATCATGGCGCCGCTGGTGCAGGCTGCTTTCCACCGCTTCCACTGGTCCCGCTGCAGCCAGCAGGAGCTCAGCCGCTACCTGCAGTGAGTACCCGCTCCCCAGGGCCCCGCAGTGACTCCCATCCCCGGCCAACACTAGGGCCCTCCGGCCACAGGCACCAGAGGGCGCTCCCGTCATTGGAGAGCCTGGCCTTGGTGGCAGGTGACACAGCAGCAGTCCTGGGAATGGCAGCCGGGACTCAGGCAGCACACAGAGGGCTGAGTGCAGATGAGCCCACCTTACGGCTCCAGCAAGGGCCTTGGCCAACATCCACTAAAGGCCGCTGTGGTGGGCGCCTGCATGTCCTCACAGCTCCTATGACTGCCTGCGGGACGACCCCTTCGCCCATGACTGGCCGGCGCTGCCCCAGCTGCCTGGGCTGCACTATTCCATGAACGAACAGTGCCGCTTCGACTTTGGCCTGGGCTACATGATGTGCACTGCGGTGAGTGGGCGCCAGGGGCCAGAGGGCAGGACATGGGGACAGACTGGCCAGAGGGCCAGCGGGGCATGCAGGAGTCTGTTGGGGGTCTGCAGAGTTTGGGGGGGGCCTTCCCTGGGCAGGAGGGGACATGGAAAGGCTGAGCTGGGACAGAGTGGTCAGCAAGGAGGAGTCCCACATGCAGAGGCCCAGAGGGGAGGGAGCAGGCACCCAGGGGAGCAGCACCCCATGGCCCCAGGGCTGAGTGCAGGGTGGAGACAGCAATAGCAATGGGGTCCCGAGACCGAGGCAGTGCTCAGAGGTCACTCAGCCACCTTAGAGACGAGAAGCCCACTCTCAGAGCTCGGTCACCAGCAGAGCCTGAGTGGAGCCCAATGGGCTCAGTTCTCAAGGTCAGTGCACCCAGATGTGGCGCTTGTTCCTTGGGATGTGCCGGTGCAGAACCCCCCAAGACAAGCAATAGAAAGGGGTAAAATAGGGAGGGGACAGAGGTGAAGCTGGGACTGGGGGAACTTAGGACCCAAGGGCAGGGCCTGTCTGGGGCCTGGGTGGAGGCATCTGTGGCAGGGAGGTCATGGTGCCCACCTGGCCCTGCAGTGACTGCCCCTTAGAGTACTGTTGCTCCTGCTTGGGCAGAGCGCTGCCCACCGGCTCCCTGGCCAGGTGCTCTGGCTCCCGTCTGCCTGGCCAGACTTTAGAAGGCTGCAGCCTCAGCCTCCAGGACCACGCTCGGCATCTGCTTTTGCATACTCAGTCCTAGAATCTCTGATCATGCAGAACTCACAGCACCCAGGGACCACGCAGACCCAGCACGAGGTGGTCCCTGCCACACCAAGTGACCTGGTGAGCTGCTGGCTCTGTCTTCCAGTTCCGGACCTTTGACCCCTGCAAACAGCTATGGTGCAGCCACCCTGACAACCCCTACTTCTGCAAGACCAAGAAGGGGCCTCCCCTGGACGGAACCATGTGTGCACCTGGGAAGGTGAGCCGGCAGGTGGCGGCTGGAGCAGCCCACCAGGTCACCTGTGGTGATGTCCACACGGGCTCCAGGCCCCCACCAGCTTCTTGCTGCCCATCCAATTACTCCCCACACTAAGAGGCAGTTCAGTGCCTCTGCCACCTTGTGCTTCTGACACCTGCGCTCTCCCCACAACAAAGCCCTGGCATGTGCATGTGCGGGGTGACTGTGGGCCACCTCACCACAAGGACAGCACTAGGGTGCCTGGCCCAGGACAAGATGCAGCCTCTGCACCCCAGGACCTCTGTGATGGCCCCTGTAAGGAAGACTGGTTCCTGGAGGTCACTAGCTGGTCACCCCATGCCCACCTCGAAGCAAGCCACAGAGAGAGGCTCTCTGCTTCCTGCCACTCCCGCCAAAACCCTGTGGCCGCCTCTTTGGGTCTCACCTGGTGCCACTGAGGCCAGACTGGCCACTGGGGGCACCATGGAGTCAGAACAGCCATCAGCCCAGACTTAGACTTATTTTTTTTGTACCAGGGATGGAACTCAAAACCTTGGCGCTTGCCAGGCAGAGGGGACAGGGCGTCCACTGACCCTGGTGTGAACCAGGTGTCACCGGGACGGCTTCCTGTCTTCTAGCACTGCTTCAAAGGACACTGCATATGGCTGACACCCGACATCCTCAAACGGGACGGCAACTGGGGTGCCTGGACCCCCTTTGGCTCCTGCTCGCGCACCTGCGGCACAGGTGTGAAGTTCAGGACGCGCCAGTGTGACAACCCACAGTGAGTGGCCCAGCTCACCCCACCCTCCTGAGTGACAGCGGAAGCCCCGCTGTCCCTTGATCGCAGGCAACCCTTGCCGGCTGTTGCCTGGCAAGGTGGACCGACCTGATCAAGGTCAAGAGCACAAGGTCCAGCCACCTGGGCCCATCCCCAGCCTGGGAGGAAGCTGGGGCTCGAGATGACACTTCCCTGAGTTGCCACCTGCAGACCTGGTCTCCCGATCCCAACCTGCAGTCCATTCTGGACACAGGCTTCCTCTGCTGGGCAAGGGCAGAGAGGGGCAGTGGGGGTCGATCTCCCAGGCTGCTGGGAACCCCAGAAGGCGCTGCTGTGACCATGCAGCAGTTTACAAGCTGGTGAGAGTCAGGGTCAGGAATGGCCCAGGGGGAGTCCACAGCCTCCACCAGATGCCCTGCCTCAGTGCGTCCCCCTGGTCCCTCCTCTGCGGGGCCGTACCCGGGGTCCTGCTGGTCCTCCACCTTGCTTTCTCCCTGGTCCGAGCCCTCGTAGGTGCCAGTGGCCTCCCCTGGCTGCTGCCCTTCCTCCCACTGGTGCTCTTCGCCCGGCCTGGTGCTGGGCAGTACCCCGTGGAGGGGCAGCGCTGGCTGGGGCTGACAGGGCGGGGTGGGCCTTCCAAGGTGCCCAGCAGGTAACCTTAGCTCTGCCTGGCAGACGTTGGGGGAAGGACCTTCATCTCATTTTGGCCTATCCAAAAGATTTGGATTAAAAGGTTTAAAAGATTTTGGGTTATCTGAAAACATTGAAAGGCTGGAATTTCCCACAAAAACTTGAACAGATTTCCAGCTTCCAAACTGGGCCAACACCGGCTGGTGGGCAGTACCTGTACCCTCACCTCTGTGGTACATCCCCCGCCATCTTCCTGGACTGCTGTACATTCACTGACATCAAGGACCCAGCTCAGTCACAGGCCGTCCTGGGCAAGACCAGATGGGAAGAGGGAACCTCGGGTCCCTCCTGCACCTCTGGGTGCTGCTACCCTCACGGGGAAGAGCTCAGGCTGGGGAGTTAGAACCCCGAGAGGCAGCTGGTGGATCAGTCTTATTCCCCAGCAAGCAAGGAAGCTGTGGAAACACAGCCTGGATCCTGCCATGTGAAGAACTCAAGCCACAGGATCCTGCTGCTTGATAACCGCTCTGGGGCGTCCCACATGCCAGGCCCTGCCTCGAGTGCCAGGGGTCTGACTGTGAAGTGGCTTGGCCAGGCTTAGCTGTACCAGGGCTGTGGCTGGGAGGAAAGGCAGGATCTGAAGGCCTGGGCCCCGCCCCAGGCTCAGCATGGGCCCAGGAGGGAGGCCCAGCACACAGGCCTCCCCTGGTCTGGATTCTCTGAGGCCTGAGGCTGGGAATGGCCCAGATGGACAGCGGAGACGCAGCAGGGCTCGGTCACTTTCCCCAGAAGAGGTGATGCCCCATTCCTGAGGCTCAAGGGGTCCCCTAAAATGCCCACCCGAAAGGCAGCTCTTCCCGAGCCAGCAGGCCCTCTGCTTCCTCCTGCAGCCCAGCCAACGGGGGCCGCACCTGCGCAGGCCTGGCCTACGACTTCCAGCTCTGCAACCCCCAGGACTGCCCCGACACCCTGGCCGACTTCCGTGAGGAGCAGTGCCGCCAGTGGGACCTGTACTATGAGCACGGGGACGGCCAGCACCACTGGCTGCCCCATGAGCACCGGGACGGTGAGGCCAGGGAGGGCGGCGGCAGGGCTGAAATCCTCCTGTGCCCAATGTCCTGTGAGGCCACCGGGGCCCCGCTGGGGCTGGGATTTGGGACTGGGGACTGGGCTGCAACCTCAAAGGCACCAGGAGGCTGCTGGGGGAGGCTGGAGGGGTCCAGGCTCCTGCCATCACCACCCCATAGGTGAGCCTCAGTTGCATGGTTGACAGATCCAGGGACAGAAGGTGACCTGTGACCTGCTCTGCCAGGCAGGACTCTCGGCTACCCGTGTCAGAGTCGAGCACTGCTGCGGACACTTGTGGCCGTAATCCCAAGCTCTGGAGGCTGAGGTGGGAGGGCCAGAAGCTCAGGTTCCCCTCGGCAGCATAGTGGGGCAGCATCTCAAAAGGCAGAATGTGGAGGGGGCTGGGACTGTAGCTGGGGAGAAGGTCCTGGTTCAGACTCACTACGAGAAGGAGGAAAAAGACAGGGACAGGGATAGGATGGCATTCTGGCTGAAAAGTCAGGTAACATCAGGCCCGGGGGTGCTTTTGTACACCCCTGGTCCTTGGTTCTAGGACCGCAAGCCTGAAGGAAACCAAACGCCACAAAGGCTTGAACCCTTGTGCAGTGTCATAGCATCTGTGTGCCACCTGCAGGAGACCTGAGGCAGCCTCAAGGGCTGCGAGCTGTGAAGGCAGCCTCGGCCCCACTCCCTTCCCTCCCTGCACCCTGGAGGGCGGGCTGCATGGGCTGGCGGATGGCCCTCCCTGGTGCTTCTCTTGAGAGCAGGCCACTTCCGTTCCAGCCAAGGAGAGGTGTCACCTGCACTGCGAGTCCAAGGAGACTGGGGAGGTGGTGTCCATGAAGCGCATGGTGCACGACGGGACTCGCTGCTCCTACAAGGACGCCTTCAGCCTCTGCGTGCGTGGGGACTGCAAGGTGAGTGCCACGGTCCCTGCCCTCCCCGCCCACAAACACACACACAGGCCAAATATCTGATAGAGCGCCTCAGACACAGGCAGCGCTCAGCAGGAGTCACTCTCCTCCTCCAAGTCTGGGTCTCACCCCTGAGGGTGTCAAGGAACCCCTAGGGCGTAGGGGGTATCATTTCCAATATTCTGGTCCCACGGTGTCTTGGTTACTTTTCTTTTATTGCTGAGACAAATCGGCCTCCACCCACAATGAAGGAAGGAAAGTTTATTTAGCTTACAGTTTGTGGAAGTTTCAGTCCATACTCAGCTGGCCCCAAGGCGGGGTGACAGGCATAAGGGCAAAACCGCTCAAGGCAGAGCCAGAGCAGAGGGGCAGAGCAGGCCTCTTCTCCACCCCCCTCCAAGGTCAGTGTAGCACTCACACAACCTCTGTGCCCTCCTCTTACACAGGCTCAGAATGTTTACAAAGGAGGCAACCTGGCTCCCTGCTGAGTCTCTTAGTTAAACTTCTAAATTGCTCAAGTTGACACAATGTATCAACCACCTCACAAGCTCAGCCTGAATTCTTGCTGTGCCCCACTGATTCTGATGCATGAGAGGCACAGGTGAAGCGTGCCTGGCGGGTCACCTCCAGTTACCCCACTGTAAACTGACAGTGTTGCAACCAAAGTGATACTGAACCCTGTGAACCTCCTGGGACCTCAGCATAGCAATGCCACACTCCATGGGGTGTCGTGCTCCCTGACCAGGGTGAAAGGGATGACAGGGGCTGCAGAAGCTGCTACTGGCCAGGCAGGGTCAGAGTCTGGTCACCAGCCCAGCGAAAGGTCAGAATTCCACCAGAAAGTGAGGCTGGGACTGTCTGTACATCCGTGGCTTCTCCTGTGTGCTGTCACAGAGAATAACCATGGGTAATCAGGGCTTTGGTGCGAACCCACACCCCTGGAAGCAGGGTACACCTCTGCTGGAGCTGAGTGGACAGGACAGTGGGTCGCAGGTGTCCAGACCTGACGCCTTCCTTCCTGAGACAGGCACACCATGGGGTGGGGCGGCGGAGAGCCCCGGAGCAAGACGGAGGAGAGGCATGGGGCACAGCAGTGCTCCCGGGCTGCTCACACTTGTGCTCCAGCAGGGCCACAGCAGGGCGGCCACCCAGCGGGCTGTGGGACAGCGAAGCCAGGACTCAGGGGAACACAGCAAGCCAGCACCACTGAGAGGCACTGCTTACTTACGGCTGTTATTACTTACGGTTTCCAGGGAGGACACAGCACACCACACAGGGTCACCTGCAGAAGCAGCATGCAGGGGGAGCCGGGACCACAGCCCTGAGCGGGTTTCCTTGGAAATACCAAGCCCACAGCCGAGGGAGGGCCTTTGAATGCCCCCGGCCAGCTGAGGGTTACTTGGAGCCTCCCGTTGTCTGGAGTGGGATAAAGAGGTCACCAGGCTGCAGAGCAGGGAGTGTGTGTGTGCAAGGTGCACCCGCCTGAGCCCTGCTCCTAGAGCCGAGGCTGGCCCTGGAGGGGTGCTTCTCCCCGGCTGGGGAGGTTTGCAAGATGCCTGAGCATCCTAGGATTCAGGGAATTTTAAAAAAGAAATAATACAGACAATCAGCATAGGACACATCTTAGCAGCTGTGAGTGTGATCACGGAGCTAACCGAGAGGCCAGAATCCTAGGGCAGCTGTTCACTGGGTGTGGTTATAATTTCAGTCTTGGTATTGATACTGGTGACTCAAGAAGAATAAGCTAAACATTTTATATCTTAATGGGGTGATTTTGATAGATAAAAGCAAGATATATATAAAAGGAGCCAGAAAGGAAACGGGAAATCAGATGAATTTATCAGTCCTGACAATACATGTGCGTGTGAAACTTGTCTTTTAGAAGAATCTAATACTGGTAAAAATAATAATACTTAAGTGAATGCTGTCAGTCAGAGAAGATTGACACACAGTGACTCGGAAGTTACAAGGGAGAAGACAGCAGAGATGTGAGCGGAGAATAAAGACACACACACAGAGCGGGGAAATCAAGAGAGAAGCATTAACGGAGGCCAGTTGGGGTCATTTTGTTTTAAAAGGCCATAATTTGATACCTTGATAAAACTAATAACCTGCCACCAAATATGTCATCCAGAATCTGCTACAAAAAAGAGAAATGTTGAAGTAAGCTGGCTTCCCCGTGCCCCTGGGGTATAGACACAGTGGTAGACAATGCCAGGAGCTCGCCACGGACAGACGCCCCCAAGCCAGAGCCTCGGTGACAGGCAACGCGCCTGACACGAGCCAGCCTGACTTCCTTTTGTTTTTTTCCTGTTGCTGTCACAAAATACTCAAGGCTGGGTAGTGTCTGGAGAGAACAGCATTGTTTAGCTCATAGCTCAGACTGAAAACCCAGGACCGGGCAGTCCTGTTGGTTCAGTGACAAGTGTCCCCCGACCGAGTCACAGCTCCACAGAGAAGGGCAGAGGAGGCGGGGCATAAGTGGGCTCGTTTTGTAACAACCTGCTCTTGGGACAGCCGTGTCACCCTAAGACCAGCGCTAGCCCCTCCGCGCTGTGCACCATCTCGGGCCCCTGCACCCCAAAGCCTCCAGTGCAGCATCCCAAGGCCCAAGCATCAGCACATGAACCAGGGCGGGGGGCCACACTCAGGCCACCCACGTCTGAACCACGGCACGAGTGCCACACAGACAGAAACCACCATGCCCAAACCCTCTCCAGTGACAAGCAAGGTCCTTTTGACTGTGATTCTTGGCCACATCCTGATTTCAGAAGTGATAAAAGATGGAAGAAATCAAGGACCTCAGCCTTGCAACAATCCTGGCTACTCTAATGCAGCAGAGCATCGAACGCCCCATGTCACAGATTTGGGGACAAACTTGAGTTGACGGATGCACCCTAGAAGACCATCCCACAAAGGGCCCTGGGAGTCAGCCCAGGCTGCAGTGCCATAAGAGACCAATGCTTTGGGGTCTCATTATCATAACATTTCCCTTGGGCAAAAATCGTTTTCCCAAGAACCTCTTCAGCAAATATGAATATGTTCAGCTAGGTGTGGCACACACCTGTCATCCCAGAACTCAGGAGGCTGAGGCAGGAGGATCGCTGTGAGTTTGAGGCCAGTGTGGGCTACAGAGGGAGTTTGAGGCTATTCTGCATAGGAAGGCCCTGTCTCAAAAGAAAAAAAGAAAAAAACCCAAAACATAAGTATGTTCATCTTGATCATTTCACATCCCGGACACTTCCAAAATTAAGTCAAAAAGCTTAAATAAAGCTAAGCATCACACAACCTACATTTCCAATGTCTTGGGAGGCCAAATAGGAAGGCTGCAAGTTCAAGTCCAGGCTGGACAAATTAGCAAAGCTCTGTCTCATCACAGTAGAAAGGGATGGGTAGTTCAGTGGTACAGCACCGTGGGTGTGTTGGTTTCTCTTCTCTCCTTGCTGAGACAAAATACCTGACACCCAAAATAAATGGAGGAGAGGTTTGTTTGGCTCACAGTCTGTGGAGGTTTCAGTCCATCATCAGCTGGCTCCAGGGCGGGGTGCTGTGGCAGAGGAGAAACAGTTCACGACAGCAGAAGGCAGCCAACGGGGGAGCAAACAGGAAGGAGCACGGACAGGATTCTGGCTCTGATACTGTATGCAGGCCACATCCACTTGGGTGTGGTACTCACACCCATAATCCCAGCGTTGGACCATGGATTTCACGAACTCCAGGAACCCGCCCCCATGACCATGAGGCTTTGGGGGACATCCAGACACAAACCATAACACTGGCTTCAATCCCCAATACTGAGAAGAAAAAAAAAAACAACCTTGTGAAACTACAGACTCACGAACCACAGATTATGAATTTCTATCCACGGATTCAAAAATGACGAGTCAGTCACCACTCTGCAGCCCTTTCATGGTCTCGAGTCCCTCACTCAAGTCTCTATAAGACAAAAGTCAGAAATCAGAGAGCAGACAGGAGAGGCTGGGCATGTAGCTCAATGACAGAGCATTTTCCTAGTCCAGATTGCAGTCCAGATTCAACCCCAGCGTCAAAGACAAAAACAAAACCACTCAAAGGAAAGGAAGTCTCTCCAGAGGTGGTGACAGTGGAGTCTTTAAAGGAGACCTGGCTGGGGATTTAGCTCAGTGGCATAAACGCCTTCCTTGCAAGTGTGCGGTCATGAGTTCAATCCCTGGTACTAATAAAAACGAAAAAGACCAAGAAAAGAAAACTGAGCTAAAGGAGACCTGGATTTGAGCCTCCTAACAGCCAGAGCAAAGAGGGAAGCCTGCATTTTGGTCTCTTCTCTGGGATGGCCAGGAGGACCGAAAGGCTCAGTCGGCTCCTCTCTGCTGAGCACCCCAGAAGTGGCCCCACAGACTGCACACTGCGCCCTTGCCCTCATCAAGCCCTTGGGCTGTGCACAGGAACAGAGCCTCATTTGTCCTCATCTCTGCTGGCCAGCTCCCTGCAAAGCACCATCCCCACTCCGTGCAACCATTTTAGTTCCTGGCGTGGCAGCATGTTGAGGGTTTAGCTGAAGAGTGAGCACAGAAGTGTCCATGTGGAACCTGACACCTGTAGACAGAATAAACAGACCTTGTACAGCTGCGAGCGGAGTGGAACGCACAGTCTAGACAATGCCTCTGGTGGGAGCCACTCGGGCTGCCTTGGCGATGCAAGTGGTGAGATGGGGCAAGGGCAGGGCTCCAATCACAGCCTCCAGGACAGAGGGGTCTGGGGCGTCTGGGCCAGGGTAGCCGCAGGCCCTGAGCTCCTGGTTCCTCAGATGCCCAGGAAGGCGATCGTGAACCAAGGAGGAGGTTGGGAGAGTTGTATTGGAAACTAGGAGAGAAGCTCCTGGATTCCAAGAGGGGCCTGCGGTGGGTTGGTAACTGGTGGTCAGCATAAACACTGGACTGAACCATCGTGGTGCTGAGTGTGGGTGGCCCCAGGGGAGCTGGGACCTTGTTGCTGAGAATGGCTGTGGTTCAGTTTGGGGGAGCTCTGGTCCTTCCAGTGAGCATCACTTCCTGGCTCCAGAGGGGAAGATGTGTGCTGTTTAATCTCTAGGAGAAGCTTGTTGCACTGGCTTCCTGATACGAACTTGGCTGTTATCACCGGAGGAGCTTGGGTCCTTGCTGTCACTGAGGCTGGGTGTGGCACTTTTAAGGGAAGCCCTGGTCCTTATTTTGAGTGTTGCTTTCTGGCTCCAGTGCAGATCCCTTGGCTGCTGGCACAGATCCTTCATCCCATTGGTGCGGTTTCCAGCTTCCACCACTGACCCTTGGGCCTTCCCAGTGCAGATCTGTGTAACAGACTTGCATGAGTCATTGTCATGGGCTCCAGGCCTCCAGCTGGACTCATGGGGGGCATTGCCATGGGCTCTAGGTCTTCAGGTGGCCTCATGCAGGTTATTGCCATGGGATCTAGGCCCTCAGCTGGATTTTCTAGGTCTAGTATATGGACAGATTTCCTGCACTTTCTTCGTATTTGACTCCCTGGGTGACCGTTATTAATGATCCTGTATATAATGTGTCCTGTATGTAATTGTTCTCCCTGCAACTGCTGAGCACAACAGGCCCCAAGGGGGTGGCCACGTGGTCACTCAATCTCGACCCACCTACAGATAAGCAGAGCCAGGAATGGCTTCACTGTTCAGTGGCCGCCTAACGCAGGTGGCTCTGTGGATTTGGAATCACCAATGGGTCTCTGGCTTTCTAACTCGGTTCTTCAACAGTTTCCTTTAAACTGGGATTTTAGAGAAAAAACTAGGTATTTTACATTTTAAATTCCTCAAAACTTGGGAGTGTGGCAGGGGGTGGGCTGTGCCCCTGCTGCTGGGCGAGTCCACTTTCGGTTCCTTGGTATGGCGGGTTGCCCAGCTCTGTCTCAGGCCTGAGCTGCTTCGCTCACAAGCTAACTAAAAACCTACACCTGGGCAGTCTCAGGCACGGGACCCCATTTTGCTGAACAACAGTGTCCAGTAGGTCATGCTTTCCAGAGAGGTAAACGGAAACACAGGAGGGCTCCTGGGGATTGCATCTCCCTTGTGAGAAGTTCCAGGAAGAGACACGCAGCCCATAGGCTGCAGGAGGACACAGACGCTGGGTAGGGAGGGCCCTGGAATCCCACGAGGCCAGGGCACAAGTGAGGAGAGCGTCTCAGGTGCTTCCTGTCACCCTCCCCTGCAGAAGGTGGGCTGTGACGGGGTGATCGGCTCCAACAAGCAGGAGGACAAGTGCGGCGTGTGTGGCGGGGACAACACCCACTGCAAAGTGGTCAAGGGCACCTTCACGAGGTCTCCCAAGAAGCTCAGTGAGTGGGCGGCACCCTGGGGCCCTTCTTGCACGGGTGGGTGTGGCTCAAATCACCCTTGGGCTCCAGCTGGGTTCCTGGGGGCTGGTGGCCGGATACAGGGAGGGTCCTGGGCTGGCTGCTGCCATGGTGGGCACAGAGGAGGGAGACCACAGGGTCGGATGGCCTTGCTGGTTGGGCCTTAGAAGTCTGCATCGGAGATCAGGGGCCGTGCAGGGCACCTTCCCTTAACCACCAGGATGCCAACTTGTCTGTCCCCACTCCGTCCCTCTGTCCCGCTGCTAGCCAGGTCTCAGTAGGGATCCCTGGGCTGTTGGTCTGTCCTAGCAGGGCTGCAAGTTAGAGCTGGAGACCTGGAGGGCTCCTGGCTCTGTTACTGCATGTTTCGGTACTATGATGAAATTCCTGAGACTGGGAAACTTGGGAAGGAATCTGTGTGGCTCACAGTTCTGGAAGCTGGAGGTCCATGTCCGGGGAGGGCCCCTGATTTCATCACCGCATGGCAGATGGCAGCACTGTGGCAGAAGCAAGACTGAGATGACAGGGCCACGGGGAGGGGCCAGAGTGACCGCCCGTGAGGTTCTGCCTCTGGAGGGCCAGCCCCTGAGCAGCACTGACCTGGGCCACACTCCCCAGGCCCATGCTGAGCTGGCCTCCACCTGGCCCTCAGCTCTCTGGACACACCTGCAGTGGCCAGCTACAGCTCTGTGCCTCAGCTGGTCCATCTGTGACTGCGCAGAGGCCACGTGGTTGGCCTCCCTTAGGAGAAGGCCCTGGGGCAAAGGTGCAGGTCTTTGCTGGGAATTGTACGCTGGGGAGGCCTCCTAAGGCAGGCGCTCAGCACTGGACTCTCCAGAGCCCACCAGGGTGCAGGGGCTGTGGAAGTTTGTGGACAACAGGCCGAGCAGAGGCCTCCAGTCCGCCATGGTATTGTGGACTCACATGTGTCAGGACTCAGGCTGGGTTCCCACCTGAGTGTCCAGGGGAGGAGACCAGCCAGGAGGGCACCTGGGATCTGAAGGGGAGCAGAGAGGCGAGTCAGGCAGCGTCCAGCCCTGGGCTGTGGCCACACCCCGACCCAGTAGCTTTTGTTGTCCCACTCTGATGGGCTTCCGAGGCCCTGGAGTGACAGCAGCGTCTGGAAACCACAGTGAGGCGAGGCCCTGCTCCCATGGTCCGCATCCAGCCGCCCCTCCACTGCCCTCTCCTCCTTTCCCATCCCCTCCTCTCCTCACTTAGTGTTGTCTTCCTGCACCTGAACAAAGGTTACATCAAGATGTTCGAGATCCCCGTGGGAGCCAGGCACCTGCTCATCCAGGAAACAGACGCCTCCAGCCACCATCTGGGTGAGTCTGGGGACCCGCCTGGCCCAGCATCTCTGGCACTGACTCTTCAGGCACGGGCCGGGCAGAGGTCTAGGCGAGGAGTCTGGCCGGAGCCGAGCGAGCCCAGGCTATCAGGGGAGGCCACAGCCACGCATCCCCTGTCCTTCTGCCTGGCGCCCGCTGGACTCATCACCCAATGGGGAAGCCAGGCTTTGCGGTCAGGGCTTCCCTGGCAGTGGTTCCTGTGGGCCACACCCCTCCACACTGCCCTCTGCCAGGCAGGCAGGTCCTGGGCAGCGTCCCCGTCACACCAACCCGGCCAGCAGAGCCACCTTGCAAGGCTGCGTCCTCCTGTGTTGAGGTATTTTACTCTGTGTTGATGTCCCCAGAGCCTTGTGCGCACTCCGAACCCACCGAAGCCCTGGTGCAGCACCTGTAGCCCATTATTTTAGATTTAAGAGAGTCCTCCTGAAATGGGGACTTTTGACCTCTCTTGAAGACCAGACGGTTCTCCGGCCCTGGGTGCCTGGGAGGCCTATCCCAGTCACAGTGCCTGACAGCACAGCCACTCAAGGGGACAGGGCTGGAGTTGGCAGGAACGGTGCAGTTGGAGGCCTGCCACGGGGTCAGGAGCTCAGCATGCGGCAGCCAGGAGACAGAAGAGAGGGGCTTCGGAGAGGAAGAGGCACCTTCCGTGTCCAGCTGTAGTGACCAGGCTCCACCCCCAACGGCAGTCCAGGGTGGGTGTGGGGCAGCCACCACCCAAAGGCCTGGGTCTGGAGCACACAGCTGGGGGACATCCACCTCCAGACCATCTGTGCTTCCCTTCCAAGGCATCTGGGGCAGCCCCTCGTGGGGTCCCTTCCCCAGCCTGAGTCACCCCTCACCCACCTCCGTCCATCCTTGGGAGGAGCCAGGCTTGGCAGGGGTTTCTGGCCTGCCACAGGGAGCCACCCCACCCGTGCATAATAAACCCATCCATGTCTTCAGCATGGCCTCCCTTGTCACCGTCCAAGAGGGAAGGAAGGCTGCAGCTCTGCCCTTGCCTTAGACAACCCGAAGTGAATTCCTAGACAGACAGACAGACACTGTGTTGTGGGAACCACAGGTCCCAACACTGGGGCTGAGGGAAGTCTTCACGATGTGGACAGAAGCGCAGGGGGCTTGGGCAGGAAATGCTATGCTGGATGGCAGCCTGTCTGGGGCCCCCCAACATCCACCTCTGCTGCAGAGAGTGGGGCTTCGGGGGCCACGTGGCTTTCCTAGACAGTCGGTGGATGCCCAGGGGCCTGTGTGGGGCATCACGTCACCAGTGGGTGGAAGCCACTGCTTTGCAGCAAGGTGCTTGTCACTTCCCACATGAAGCTCACCAGGCCCTCCTGGCCCTGTGCCTCTGTTTCCAGGGGAGGCTCCCTGCCGCCCTGGCCTGGAGGATTCCTCCTGCTGCGATGAGCAGGCAGGCTTAGAAAGGTTGATTCGAGCCCATAGTCCAGTGGCCACAGTGGGAGCCATAGTCATATCTCCAGCTGGGGGCCTGGTGGGCCAGGGTCCCACATTCTCTTGTAGGGCACGACCCCAGCGACCACAGAACATGCCCACAAGGGCCAGCTGAGGACCAGGCCTTCATCATGGTGGGGGGAGTCACCCCAGCCTCTATGTGCCTCTGGCCAGTGCTGTGCATTACAACGCTGCTTCCCCAGAGCCTGCAAGCCCCTGAGGCCTGGTGGGGACAGGCTCCAGGCTGGGCCCAAGGTCCGGGCAACGCCATGCAGGCTCCACCGAGAGACTGCAGCAGGAGTGGCTCCCGAAGCGGTTTGGGCTGTTGACAGCACAGACTGAGCCTTGGCAGAGGGCAGCGGGGAGAGATGAGGGGTGCTGCTCCCACGGTGACCCCCAGCTGCCCAAAGTAGTGCGCCCCTCTGAAGCCCCACAGTGGGCCTGGGTCCTGCTTTCCAGTAACCGTGGTGGGGCGGGGGGGCTCCCTTTTGTCATTCTCAGCCGTCAAGAACCTGGAGACAGGCAAATTCATCTTAAATGAAGAGAACCACCTGGACCCCAATTCCAGATCCTTCATCGCCATGGGCGGGGAGTGGGAGTACAGGAACGAGGAGGACAGGGAGACCCTGCAGACCATCGGCCCGCTGCGGGGTCCCATCACCGTGCTGGTGAGCAAGGGTTCGCCCAGTGCAAAAGGACAGGGGCTGGGGCTCCCCGAGTGCTTCAAGCCGTGCTCTGAACAGCCCCTTGGGCACGCTCTGTTCTCCTGGCTCCAGGGCCAGAAACTCATGAGGCCATATGTCGGGGCTGTGGTGCTGCGCCCACCCTGGGGACACTGGTGACCTGGGCAGGGACTGCTCTGAGAGCTTTGGCTTCTTCGTCTGAATGACATTCACAGTCATTGCTGCCATGCCCTGAAGTGACAGTTGGGGACAGGCCAGGCTGGCTTTGCATCCAGGCAGGCCTGGCCCCAGATCTCCTAGGGCAGGGCCACAGGCTGCTCCTGGTGACTAGGAACCCCCAGAGGTCTGGGTCTTCCAACCACTTTTTAGATGTAAATTCAGTTGGTTGTGTAAATGTTTTATTTCTCAACAAATTCACACACTACAGAAAAGCCTCCCGGCCCCTGGGCCGAGGCCCTCGGCACCAGCACCAGCAACTGTACACACAGGCGCGCTCCGCAGAGAGGGTCGGCTGGGCCAGCTGCCCACGAGTGCACGGTGCAGCCTGCCTGCCTGGCCTACTAGCACTGCTGCTCTGTGCTCGAGCCTTGGGGACCCACCGAGACAGGCCCAGCTCCTCTGTGTTTACTCCCTCCCTAGAATTCACTTGTGACCTGCAGCAGGACGTGGCCGGACTGTTTTTCCGGCTGAGAGGTGACTGCTGGCCGCTGCCTTCCTGTCTCGGCTCCCTTGCTCGGGAGTCTTCTGCGGCCTGTCTGGTGTTGCATCTTAGGCGTTGGGGCTTTCCTGGGGCCGGCTCTGCTGCTTCCCATGGCACCTAGGCCTTCTGCTAACGTCCTGTTTGGTGTCCCTGAGCCCAAAAGGCTGTGACAGGAGTTGGAGAAGTGTGTTCAGGTGTGAGTGACAGGGTTGTTGGTGACCAGGTCACTGACATTGAGTCAACGATGCCTTTTACAGAAACACACGGTAGAAACACATTTGTGTATTGATTGGTTGGCAGAGGAGGGGAACAAGAGCTCGCAGCTTCTCCCCCTGGACAGGTGGTCCTTGGCGCCAACGGGGTCACACCTCTTAAGCCCTTTTAAGTTGAGAATACCGAGTCCAAGTGCGTGTGTCCTCCTCACCTCCTGGGGGCCCCTGCTTGTGGTGGGGGTCATGTTCCTGGGGCCGCAGGGCTGACTGGGAGCTTGGTTCACTGCTGCCACCCAGCATCATGGGATATTGGACTACACATTACTACCCCAAAATCTAAACTCAGAGTGGGGGCTCTCCTAAGTGCATATTGCTTCTGTACCATCACAAAGTCAAGAATTGTAAGCCAAGCCATAGAAAGTCAGGTCCTGTCAGTTTCGCCCAGAGTCGTGGTTTATCACCATTATTTGCAAATCCACTTTGAGGCCGAGTCAGGGAGCATAACTCTGGTGAGGGAGAATGGACTGTGAATCTGCCCCGGGCTCCAGTCCCTCATCTGGGGCTGAGCTCTGGTGGGAGCATAGCGCGTATGCTCAAGGTCTACTTGGGGTGGGCACAGGTCATCCCCGAGGGAGACACCCGCATCTCACTGACCTACAAATACATGATCCACGAGGACTCGCTCAACGTGGATGACAACAATGTGCTGGAGGACGACTCCGCCAGCCACGAGTGGGCGTTAAAGAAGTGGTCGCCCTGCTCCAAGCCCTGTGGTGGAGGTGAGGGGATGCTTGTGGCCGGGGCTTCTGGTGGAGTTGGGGGTGTCCCTAGGCAGGGCCCAGCCTGAGCAGAGGCAGTTATCTGGAAAGAGGTCGGGGCTGGTGCGGAGGGGACTTCTTGGGAGGGGCTTCCCAGGCCAGCAGTGCCGGGTCTGAGGCCAGTGAGTGCCGGCATGTGCCAGGCATGAGAAGGCCACAGCAGTGACCTTGGCCAGGGGGCCTGGCCAAGCCTGGGAGGGAAGTGGGGATTGGGAAGCTTGAGCCATCAAGGATCAAGCCAGAGGTCATTGAGGGACCAGTGGGTCACACTGTGGCACTGTGGGACAGGGACAAGAGAGTAGGAACAGCCCTGAGGGGCTCAGGAAAGCTTCCCAGAACTCTCCAGGCAAGGGCTGAATGCAGAGGGGACCGCACTGCCCTGAACTCCAGAGTCCATGGCTGCATGGGAACACAGGACATGCACATGATCAGGACTGACCTCCCCCAGGGGCCGTGAAGTTCACCAAGGGGCAAGGGGCTCATGCCAGGCAGAGGGCACCCCCAGCTTCCTGTCATGCCACCATGACCCTGTCTCTGCATCCCACGTCGCTCTCATCACTAGGTCTCGCTGATTCTCCTCCTGTCTGTCTCTGGGATCCGTCTTTGATTCCTGTCTTCCTCCCCGCCCTCTCACGGTCCTCGGACCATCCTCCCCGAGCCCACAGTGACCTTGTACAGGGGTAAATCAGAGCACCTTGCTTCCTGGTGTCATGACGTCTTCTGTAACTCCCTCTGTTCTTGGCATAAAGACCAAGATTGCCCAGGTGGCCTCTGCGGTCCAGGTACTTTGCTGACCTCTCCTGTCCCATGGCAGTGCACCTCACTCCCCAGGTGCACCCAGGTCCTGGCCTCACCAGACTAGGTGCAGTGTTGGTCTGTTTCCCGTTACTGTAGCAAAATGCCCAAGATAATCAGCTTATTAAAAAGGAAATGTTTTGGCTCACAGTTTTTGAGGTTTCCATCCAGGGTCAGTTAACTGCATCCCTTTAGGCCTGTGGCAAGCAGAATATTTTGGTGAGAGCACCTGGTGTGGGGAGCTGCTCACTTTATGAGGGCCAGGAAGTAAAAGAGAGGGAGCGAGCCCTTCAAGGCCACATCCCCAGTGTTCTAACTTCCGCCCGCTAAATGCCACCTGTTAGAAGCCCTGCACCTCCCATGGCACCATAGACTGGCAGCCAAGCCCTCCAGAGTGGGCCTTTGAGGTTCATTTATCCAAAACATTTGTTAGACACACAGTTCTCCACTCAGAGCCTTGGCATGGCTGCCTCTCAGCATCCTCTCTTCCCTGCTCCCTGCAGTCAGCCACAGCCCACTGTGCTGGCAGAGACATCGCCAGATGCCCAGCCTAGCTCGGGCCTGGCTGTGGTCTATTCTCTTGTACGCACTGTCAACATTTTAAGCTCATTATTCTGTGTCTTGGGGCGTGGGGGGCACTGTAGGGTGCTGAGCAGCTCCAGCTGCTCTGCAGTAGGTGCCAGTAACACATCCACCCCCTCGCTGTGACAGCCACAAATGTCTCAGACTTTTGCTACATGGCAGGGGAAGGATGTCACCCACTGAGACCTGTGGGAACCATGCTCCCTCTGTGTAGTGAGTTAAGGTGGAGCTTATGACTAAGTGATGGAGGACAGGCAGACTGCTGTGTGCCTCAGAAGTCAGGAGGGACCAGGTGAAAAGCAAGGAGAGGGTAAGACAGCCGCTCGCACACGCTCTCGGCCTGCTGCTGGCTGAGCCCAGGGCGCCGAGTGAGTACAGTAACCCCCAGGGTCTCCTGCACATCGGGCTGCAGGACAGGACTGACCTGCAGTGGAGCCCACCCCTCCGAGTCCTCTTGGGGGGCCCTGCGCCCACATGAGCCCCTTTGAGCTCTCTGTCTTCAGGGTCACAGTTTACCAAGTATGGCTGCCGCCGAAGGCTGGACCACAAGATGGTGCACCGGGCCTTCTGCAATGCCCTGGCAAAGCCCAAAGCCATCCGCCGCACCTGCAACCCCCAGGAGTGCTCCCAGCCTGTGTGAGTGTGGGAGAGGGAGGAGGCCACTCAAAGGAGGCCAGATACCCCAGTGCTGCCGGGAGGGAGGGGCAGGACCAGTCCTCCGAGCCTGGGCCTGAGCACTGAAGGGTCCTCCTCACCCACCATGTTCTGTCAGGCCTGAGATGCTGCAGATGGAGGAGTGCACCCCAGTTTCAGACCTACTGAGCTGAGTGTGTCAGAAATGACACCAAATGGTGGAGTGGCACCCAAGTGGGAAACGGAGGCTCTAAGGCCCTGGGGGCGTCCAGTGCTATGGTGGGCATTTCCTACATAGCAGCTTCGAATCCACAGCCCCGGGGGTCTCACAAGAATGTCATTTCTGGCCCAGATTTCTGCCCGGCTGGCACACGGGCAGGTGGAGACCTTCAGGCACAGAGAGATGAGGGGGTCCTCATGGCTCTCAAGCTCAGCCCCAAAGGGGAGGCCAGAGCCTAAAAAGGGACAGAAAGCTGATGACACACTTCAGGCCTGGCCCCTCTGAGCCATCCACCCAGCAGTGGACTTGCACGGGGTTGCCCGAGCCTCAGTTCCCCTTTCTCACACCGCGCTGACAGCGCCTGTGTGAGAACAGAAGCTTCCCCTGTGGAGCACAGTGGGCTGCCCCGCTCCACCCTCTTGTTCACCCAGGCTGCAGGAAGGGTGGCTCTGCAGGGCCGGCAGGGGACTGACCCCGTGCTACTCTGCCCGGACAGGTGGGTCATGGGCGAGTGGGAGCCCTGCAGCCAGAGTTGTGGGCGCACGGGCATGCAGGTGCGCTCTGTGCGCTGCGTCCAGCCTCTGCACAACAACACCACACGCTCCGTGCACACCAAGCACTGCAACGACCACCGGCCAGAGAGCCGCCGGGCCTGCAACCGTGAGCTCTGCCCCGGTCGGTGGCAGGCGGGGTCCTGGTCTCAGGTAAGCTGTCTCTTGGCCCCAGCCCTTGGTCCCCAGGCTGAGCGTGCGTAAGACTGAGGTAGACAGGGTGTTCCACTTGGACACTTGGGCCTGGACCCAGCTCCTGCATTGAGCCACATCTCCAGGCCTCAGGGTACCGTGGGCACCACATGGTCAATGCCTGGCTGGTAAACGCAGCAGAATGGGTGCCTCTGTATCCCGTGCATGTGCAGGTTGGGCCCAGGAGACTGAGGGCAGCCCAGGCCCTACAGTGCTATGGATGCTCAGGGCTCCAGTACACTGAGAGTCCAGGGTCTCAGCTCAGAGGCTGCAGATACATCTAGAAGCCCAGCAAAGACCACCAGGAGGGTTGAGAAGCAGGGCTGTACCAGATCAGAGTGGATGAAGGGATGAGGGTGGGTGGAAGGCTAAATGCCAACCAAGGCCTGCACAAGCCGATGTGCGCAGGTAGCCCGGGCCCTCATTCAGGTGCAGGGACACCCTGCCAGTGCTCGCAGTTACAGTTTGCAATGATGAAAGGAGGCATAAGCCAATCAGCAAACAGAGAAGCGAGGCCATGGGGAGCCCTGGATTCCCCCAGCAATGATGTGTGACCACACTCTCGAGGCATTGCTACCGGGCTGCCCTGCCTGGCGTGGAGGCTGTGCAGCCATGGAGGGTGGATGAGGCAGCCTGCCTGCATCCTGTCCCCTGCCACTGGGCTCATGCCCAGGGGCTCAGATGCCTGCAGCTCATCCAGGCAGGGGTCCCCTCATCCCGGGTGAGAGGCGATGCTCACTGGGAACTCTGTCCCTGGCAGTGCTCCGTGACCTGTGGCAACGGCACCCAGGAGCGCCCCGTGCTCTGCCGCACCACAGATGACAGCTTTGGCATCTGCCAGGAGGAGCGGCCGGAGACGGCGAGGGTCTGCAGACTCGGTCCTTGTCCCCGTAAGCTCCCTGCTATCTCCAGCCCCAGTGTGAGGGAGGTGGGGGTTTGGCGCAGGGGAATTCAGCTTCCCCAGAACTTCCTGGACGTGGTCTTGTAAGAGAGGCTGAGCGCTTGGGGCAGGAATCAGTCCTTCCTGGGGGGTGGGGTGGAAGGCACTGACCGATGCCATGCAGGTTTCTGGGCCAGCTGATTGCAGTCAGTGCTGACCTCGACCATCCTGGCTCCATGACACTGTGTCATACTTAGGTTGCACTCTCCACACGGCAAGATCAGCCACCCTGCAGGTGCCAGGGCTCATGTGGGTAAGAGGCACCCAGTGTCCACACAGTAGCAGCCTGTGTGAGCAGGGCACACCCCACACCATACAAGCAGGAAGTCCCCATGTGGGTGTGGTGTCCACACAAGGGGCGCCAGGTGCACAGAGCACTGTGAACGCCTGGCCCAGCGTGGTACATGTGTCACTTCCTTTGGTTCCCATAGCAGCTAAGGACCACTCTATCCAGCAGGCAGAACAGGGAAGGCAGCGGGGTCAGGGCACCTGCCTTGGCAGGGTGGGTGGTGCCCAGGTTCTCATTTCCGCTGTGCCACTCTCTCCTGAGAGCTTGAGGCCTGCGGTGGAGAAGCAGGGAGAGCAGGGTGCAGTGCGAGGAAAGAGCCGAGCTTCGATGAGGCACACGGGGCTTTCTCGGGGTCAGTGAGGCCCGAGACTGGCAGAGAGAGGTGCCATGGTGGGACCTGCTATCCCAAGGGAAGGCCTGGAGTGCTGTGCAAGGTGCAGGCTGCTCTGCTGTCCCCTCCCCGAGAAGCGGGGAGCACAGCCACGTTGCCTGACCTGTGTGTGACCCCAGCAGCGGCAGCCACCTCTCTCTTCCCTCTCTCCTCCAGGAAACACCTCGGACCCCTCTAAGAAGAGCTACGTGGTTCAGTGGCTGTCTCGCCCCAACCCTGACTCGCCCGTGCAGAAGATCTCAAGTAACCGACCCGTTTATAACTCTGCCTCTGCCCTCCAGTGCATGCCCTGCGCCTTGTGGAGCTTGCCTTGGGCTCCCCTCCTCTCTGTCTATGGAAAGCTTCCCTGACTTCCGCTGAGCGCTGTCTCTTGGCTGAGATCTGTTTCTTCCGGGCCTTGTGCTCGGCTCTCCTCTGGAGCTTGTGCCGCCTGGCCTCGAGCCAGGGCCGGCCTCCAGGAGGCCTGGCCTCTTCCGGGGCTGGGACCCAGTTGGCGATGGCTTGTAAAGGGGCAAAGATCTGTCGTGGTGCTGGAGGGGCCGGAGGCCAAAGTGTGAATTCGACCACTTCGCCATGGTGACTGCCCGCAGGGCCACGTCCCTGCGGCTGAAGCTGCGGGCTGGAAGTCTGAGCCGCGCCCGCCCCGTGTCTTTTCCCACGCTGCCCAGCGCCAACACGAGGCCGAGGGTCTCTGGGTGCGAGTTTCTGTGTCGCTGTGCCAGGCGATGGGACCCCACGTTTCCTGTGGTATCAGGGGCTTCCCCGCTGCCACTGCTGTCGCTGCTGCTGCTCACCCTTTGCTGAGTGTGTCCTTCTGACTCCTGAAGCCACGGCCTGCCCGTTGGCCTTTGCGCCCAACCGCATAGCCCGGGCCCTGCCCCTGTCCTCTTGGGGTCCGGTTCTGTGGAAGAGGCGGGGGGCTGTGCTCCTAGGTGGGACACTGAGGACAGCCACCACTGTCATTCTGTCCTTCTGTTCCAATGGCCTTTTCTCATTGTGTGCATATGACCCAACCCAAGGGTGGAGAGAGTGAGCGGGTGACTTGTTGATTGGTGACTGATTGATTATCTGATATGGATGTGCCTCACCTACCAGTGTGAACAACTACAGAATTACCTCAATTTTTATTGCTTTTTTGCTTAGAAAAACTATGTAGAAAATGCCTTAAAGTTGAAAGGTAACAGAATTGGCTGCTCACCCCAGCCTCAGGGGGGCTTTGGTCCCGGTAGGAAGCGACACTGGAGGTCTAGGGGGTCCTGTCCCACTCACCCACCTTTGCCAAGGGGAGTGTTCCCAAACCCAGACAACTTTGCCCCTTCTGCTGGTGGTGGTCTGTCCTGCGGAGACGGGGGGTGCGCCTGCCCGCCTGCCCGCCCCTGGGGTAGGGACGCCCACCTGGCCCTTTGGCGCTGACTGTTGCGTGGAGACTTGCAGGCTCCAGCAGGGTGGCCTTACACCCAGATGGTGACACTCCGAGGTTCTTAGCCGTGACCAATGTAGCATTCCGGCCCCCGCGCCCCACCAGCCGCCGCCCAGCTGCTTCACCTGTTAATGACACTTCCGTCTGCTGGCCCGAGCCCTCCTCCGGCACTAGTTACTGTTATGTAAATAGCCAGTGTGTGCCCGCATACTAACTAATCCTCACGACTGTTAACTTCCAACTTTCACGAGGCAGTGTGAGTGACCTGTGTGACTGCGAGGTGCAGTACGGTCCCGGGCATTGTGCTCCCTGTCTATATGCACTTTGGTTTATCAGGGATATTTTATTAGTGTTTTGTATGTATTTAATGACGTAATCTATAGGTTCCATTGTCGTTGCTTTTCTGGTTTTTTTTTTTTTTTAAATGAGACGATGTTAGCGTGTGCCAAAGTGACTGTGAAAATGACCTTTTATTCTTACTAATGATGGAAAGATCTGTCATGCATCCCACAAATAAACTCAATAAAAATTCAGTGAAACTGGGTGCTTGGGTATGGCAAGCTCACGGCTCCTCCTGTTCACCTGCAGGGAAGCAGCGCTGAGGAGTAGCAGGTGTCACCCTGTCGTGTCACCTTGTTTCTGACTCAGATGCCTTTACGCCCTCTCCTCTCTGTCCAGCACTGATACCCAGGGCCCCCAGACGCACACCTGAGCGTTTTCCAAGCATGACAACAACCTTCCGTCTCGGTTTGGGGTTTGAGTGGTTAGTGCTAAACAAGAACTTGCAGGAATGCCTGGGTTTTCTGCTCATAGGGATGGTCTGGCAGCCAGGAGCATGGCGACCATCAGGCGACCCTGATGCCTGGCATGGTCCCCAGCCTTCAGGAAGGTATGGCGCAGGCGTGCGGCAGGACTCAGCAAGAACTCCTGATCTGGACATGTGCTGTGTCCCCCAGCACTCTCGTTCCTTTGCTGTGCCAGGGAGCAGTACAAAGTCACAGGACATCATGGGAAAGAAAAGCAGGGAGCCGCCCAGCACCGCAGAGATGGGCTTGGGGACACGGGCCTGGCCCCGGCCTCCAGGCACGTGCCAGTGGCGGTGGCCGAGTCAAGGGGGAGACAGAATCACCAGGCACATAGGGGCCTGAGTGCTGCCTGCCGCTGAGCCAGCCCTGGAGACAGGCAGGAGTGACTGCACTCCAAAGGGGCCCCGGGCTGCCCTGGAGGCCGTGTGACCAGGGGACACTGGGGCACTCACCTTTTAAACTACTGGCGTGCCCCTTTGAGTGGTGAGCGGAACACAAGAGCCCAGTGCCTGTTACTGAGTAAGCTGTGGGCGCTGGAGACCACAGGGTGCACAGACAGGGCCTACATGAGCTGCCCGTGGGCCCTTCCTGATTCCCGTGCCCTTCCAGGAACCTCTCAGAATGTACTCGAGGCTCACTCCGTGCCGCTTCTGCACCTGTCACACACTTCTTTCTCCGAGCTTTGCAGGGCAGTGGCTCGGTTTTGGTAGCTTTCTGTTGCTGTGATCAAATACTGAGAAAAGCAACTTAGAGGAGCAAATATAGCGATACTTTGGTACTCATCTTTAATTTGTTGTGGAGCTTGTGACAAGTGCCAAACAACAAGGACTGATGGAAATTGTTCCCATGAGAAATAACGTAATCACAAAAAAATCCACAAGCTTTCACACTTTTCAGGGCCAGTATAAGCCATTCAGGCTCAGTGGTATCACTGTTAGGTTTTTTTGTTTGTGTTGTTTTTTGTTTTGCTTTTCTAACCTGTGACTACTATTTAAAATGCACAAAATTGCAATACAGGAACAACAGATATATGTGACTTCTGCACAGTTTGCAAACTTGTGAAACTCAGGTGACAAATGCTAGGACATTTTCCTCCCATCACAATGTGGTGAGTCTGATGTAGACATATGCTGAAGCCAAGTACCAAGGGATAGCTGTACTTACTGTTTGTGGCGCATGATTTCAGAGGGTTCAGTCCACGGGTGGCTGACTCCAGGCAGAGCCATCATGGCAGGAAAGCACAGCCGAGGTGGGCTGCTCACCCCTGACAGGCAGGAAGTAGAATGGAGAGAGAGATGGAGCGAGAGGGGCTCAGCACAAGAAGGCCGCTTCCAGGCCACGGCCTGCTGACTGCCGTCCAGCCAGGCCCACCTCCTGCCTGCTCCAGACAGCTAGGAACTCACCCGTGGATCTATCTGCTGAAGACTGCAGCCCCTGTGATCCAGTCACCTTCTGAAAGCCCCATCTCTAAACACAAGAGCCTTCTGCGGGACATTTCTTATCCAAATGATGTGGTCTGATATGTTAGAATTTGGCTTTACATTTTACTTCGAATAACTTTTTCTTGGCATGATTCTGGAATTGAACTCAGGCCCTTCACTAAGCTACACCCCTACCCCTTTTTTTTATTTTTTGAGATAGGGTCTCAGTCCCTAAGTTGCCCAGGCTTGATTCAAATTGAATTCTCCTGCCTCAGCCGCTCAGAGTGCTTGAATCAGGATAAGGGATGTGGTCACTATGCCAGGCTACAATTTTCTTATAATCATGTTTTGGGCTAGTTTTATTTACCTTACTCTGCGTCCTTCTTCTTCTTCTTTTTTTTTGGTCTTTTTCCTTTTTATCGGTACCAGGGATTGAACTCACGACTGCCTGCTTGCAAGGCAGGCGCTTATGCCGCTGAGCTAAATCCCCAGCCCCTATTCTGTGTCCTTGAATGCTAGTAATATCAAGTTTTCTAAAATAAAATTCAAGTTTAAGAGTTCATTTAAAGGCAATCAGTAAGCAAAGCATAATCCAGATGGTGTTGGAGACTGCCGAGACTGTGGGTGAGGCACACAGGTGGCACTTACGAAAAGCATGTTTACTTCCTGTTCACGATGGTGGCTCCTGTTGGTTCACTGCTGCTGGAAATGGTGGAAGCAGGAGATCTATAAAATGCCAACTCTTCTCTTGGGGGAGACCCTCTGCCAGTCAGATCTCAGGACCTACTGTTCAGCCCTTTGGAGGTGTAACGTGCGTCTCCTTATCTCAGACGGCTTTCTGGTTAGCGGTGGGAGTTAATAATATGCGCCCACTGGTGTTCACTGGAGAGCAGTGGCAGTGATTAAAGCTGTCCCTCGGGAGGCCGGTTTCGGGACCTCCCCTGATGCTCGAGTTACTACAGACATGTTGCAGTGTTTGTGTGTAACCTGTGCAGCCCTCTCGTGTGTGCATGTCATCTCTAGGTGACTTCTAGCACCTGCTCTGTGAACATCTGGTAGACTGCTGCTTAGAGATGAAGGACCAGAAGTCTGTGCACGTTCAGGACAGAGGCAGCCTCCTCACAAATGTCTCTGATCCATGGTTGGTTGGACCTCAGGTGTGGAGCCCGTAGATACTGAGTCTGTCTATATCCCAAACATCTTCTAGGTTGATGTTAGCAGAGTCAAGCTCCCGAGCAATGGCTGTGCCCTGTCTATTCATTTTAATGTTACCAAGGGAGAGCTCTGCAGCTCACTGTTCAAAGGAAATGAGCAGTCAGGATGTAAACCAGCTGGAAGGGAGGTGTCCTGGAAGGGGCCCTGGTCCTCAGCGCTGTCTCCAGCACTCAGTAGACACTGAGGGTGCTTTCTGTGTCGAGCCCAGACCAGGCCTGCCCTCAACCAGGGCAGCCACCTTCTCTTGCAAGGGGCCAGAAAGTAACTACTTTAGCTCTGGGGCTTTAGAACACCTGTCCCAGCCACTCAGTACTGCTGTGTTAGTGGGGAAGCAGCAAAGACAGGACAAGAATGGGCGCGGCTGTGCGTCAGCAAAACTTCATTTACAGAACAGGGGGTGGCACAGATTTGGCCCCCATCTGCAGCCCCCCATTCTGACGCAGTGAATGAAAGGACATAGCTGTTGGCTGCTGGACATTTTTATGGCCACTTGGTCCTGTTGCTTTAGTATTATGGCAGCGCGGTTCACCTTAGCTGGAACGTACAGTTCAGGAGGGCTGCTTACCTCGTGGTGGGTAGGAAGCAAGAACAGACAAGCAGGGACACAAGCCAGAGGGACACAGGTGTATCTGCGTATCGGAAGGACATGCTGACGGTGGGGAGGTGACCTACTGGGATGGCGCAGGGCGACAGGGGGCCCCCGCTGAAGTGCCACTCTTTAAGCTGCGCTTGAAGTCACTCCGTAAGGACAACAGGCCTCACTTGGGGCTCTAACTGTGAGAGGCTGAGAAGCCCAGCTTCCTCGGGGCTGCGGAGGAGGGGAGCGTGGCTGGCAGCTTGCGTGGCCGCACTCCTGGGCTGGGCTCAAGGACACCTGACCAGAAGCCATACACCGCTGCACACCTGCCCTGTGCTGTCTCCGGCTGTCTCACTGCCTCTTCCAGCAGTCGCGCCTGGGGGGAGCAGAGCCCCCTCGCCGTGTCCTTTGGTTATGTGTCCCGCTTTTCTCTTTCAGAGGCCCACTGCCAAGGCGACAAGTCCATGTTCTGTAGGATGGAAGTCTTGTCTCGTTACTGCTCCATCCCCAGCTACAACAAGCTGTGCTGCAAATCCTGCAACCTGCGCAACACCACAGGTGCAGACGGCGAGGCAGAGCCACTGCCCGGGAAGCACAATGACATCGATGTGTTCATGCCCACGCTGCCAGGGCCCACGCTGGCCGTGGAGGGCCAGTCCTCACCTGGCCCCCCGCTGGAGGTCCCCGTCAATGCCTCCAGCGCCAACACCACAGAGGACCACCCTGAAGCCAACGCCGTAGATGTGCCCTACAAAATCCAGGCCCTGGACGATGAAGTCCAGCCACCCAATCTAATCCCTCGACGACCGAGCCCGTACGAAAAGACCAGGAACCAGCGGATCCAGGCACTCATTGATGCCATGCGGAAGAAAGAGACGCTCGGGAGGTTCTAATAAAGTGGAAAGGTAGCATCAGTAGCATTTTTTTCCTTGCTTCTAAAGATATTTCATGGGATAGCAAATCCTGCATCAAGAAGATGAAGCCCATTCCTGATTTTAAGTTTTGGGAAAGCAAAGGGAGGTTATGCAAATATATGTAACTCATATAGTGTGTGTGTGTGTGTGTGTGTGTGTGTGTGTGTGTGTGGCGATCAGGTGAGCGTGCGCGCTGCCAGCCAGAGGGATTCGAGTCCTGTGCGTACAGTGAGTGTGAGTGGAAGGTGGCAGAAGGCAGAGTTCCACCGCCTCCATCAGTGAGGGGCAACGAGAGGGACAGCTCCAAGAGGAAGCGGTGCCCAGGGGACTGAGCAGTGGCAAGGAGAGGACCTTTCCCTGCAGGTGATGCAGGCTGTGTCCTGCCAGTGCCCAGGGCCGGCACGAGCCCCGGGGCCGTGAGGGGTGGAGTTCAGGTATGAGCGAGCTGTTGCCAAGGTGAGTCGTGAGGTGGAGGCCATGGACACTCGAGCCTTCAGAGGCCAGGCAGGAAGTGAGCATGGGCGCAGAGGCCACCTCCACTTACAGCTGCCTGTCAGCCCCCGCCATCGCTGCGCCTGTGAAATCTGCACGCATCTCTCAGGGGCCTCAGCCCAGCTTGCCACACGGTGTCTAGATTTTCACAGGAAAACTCTCAATCTTTAAAGCTTTGCTCTAAATACTTTTAGTTTCCAAATGCGCTGGCTGCAGCCTGTCTCTTGTCTCAGCTCTGTATAGTTACCCTGAAGAATGAAAGACTTGAGAGAAGTCTCGGACCCAGTAGTGCTCATGCTGCTTGGTGCTCGACTGTCCTATTAAGTTGGGTCGTGTGGCTGTCACCCTCCCAGAAGCACTGGGAGCCCTGTGACTGGGGACAGACTGGAGGCAGAGGGGGAGGCAGTGAGGAAGGTCCCTGTCCCCCTCACCAAGCCCGGCTGCACCTGGCCCCTCCAGCACCCTGGCCAGCCTGTCCTCAGCTTCGGGGCCTCTGCATCTTCCTCATGCCTCCCGTGACCAGAGGATGAGCTGTGCCCTGGGCGCTGTCACACGGGCTCTGTGGGCTGTTTACTCCTGAGCACCAGCTCCACTCAGGTCTGCGGGCTCCCCGACCCCACTCTGCACCAGCCTAACCTGGCTGGGCACCCAGCAGGGACCTGCAGATGCGGCCTCGCTTTCCCTTCTGCTCTTTTGAAACTTTGAAGAACCTGGGTTCTGAGCAGAATGGCGCTTTGTGGGCAAGAGGCAAGGGAGGAAGACAGGCAGGGAGTGTGGGGGCCCGCGGGAGCCGAGTGGCTTCACTGTACCTCCCTTTGATGCTTTGTAAATGTGACTTCAGATGTCTAACGGCAAGACCTGGGCGTGTTTGCTGCGTCCTGGCCTGGCCTGGCCTGACCCAGAACCTTAAAGCTTCTTTTGTTTATGAACTCTGCATTCTTACCAGCCATAGATCTCAAAGAACACTATCTTGTGTTCTTGACTCCCCGTTAGGTGGATGAGTGTGGGGGTTCAGGTTACCCTCCGCTGAGTGCTGAGGTGCTAGTCTGTCTGGGTGTGGGTGTGTGCGTGTCTGTGCAGATGGTCTGAGGACAGTGAGGCGTGTAGGAGTGGGCCGGAGTGCTCTGAGCCCACGCTTATCTTCCACCTGGGGTGACAGCCGCTGCCCCGGCCTGGCCAGCCTCCCTCCTCTGTTGCCGCCTCCCCACCACCCAGCATTGTCTTGGCCTCTGTCCCCTGGAGAACCAAACTGGACGGTCTTTTGCAGTTCTCCCCTGGGATGTGGGGGAAGGCATGTGTGTGGGCCTGCCTCTGTTTGGAACAGATCCTGAGGCTTGCCCAAGCCATGTGGTGTTGGTTATGGGCTGGAGAACGAAGCAATTCTCTCAGGTCTTCAGAGGAAATTCAGGGCGGGTGCGAGCCACCAGGTGCTACTCGGTGACCCTACCTAGGGGCCGCCAACGGGGCTGCTGGCTTCCCAGAGCCCTCAGATGAGGCACCACCTGGATACTGTCCTCTACCACAGGTGCCCTCAGGCAGCCAAAGTCCAACATGGCCCCAGCCCCATGTGCCCTCGGTGGCAGTCACAGCTCAGAAGCTGAGGGGGCCCTTGGTCCTCTCCATCCAGCGAGTGTAGACTCGGGGGCTCTGGGAAGCTGCAGGGCTCCCTTGACCGCGTGAATGGGCTTGCACAGAGCCGTCACGGCCAGCTGCTGTGGAGCGGGGCAGGCAGACGCCTCTAGCCAAGGCTGTCACTTCTCATTGAGGGGAGGGGAGACTTGGGGACCCAGCTCTCTCTGTGCTTCTGGAAACCCATGTGTAAGGCTTTCATTTGTATCTTAGGGGTTTTTCTTGTCTGTCTTGAGTGTATCATGGTGCTCATTTACTCCTCTACAGAGGTGGCTGCCAAGAGGACCCTCAAGGTGCTGAACTCAAATTACAAATTTTTATCTCACTGCTAACTGCCACCGGGACATTTTTGTTCTGTATAGTAAAATTTGAAGCTCTACTTTTATAACTTATTAAAATAAAAGTGTCTTTTGCAAACCATAACTGTATTTGTTAGCTGTACTACGCTTGTCCCTTGGCTAAACCTGGACAGGAGGGAAGGCTGAAATACCTTCAAAGGGCTGCCCTGGGGTGGGGGACCCCAGGGCCCTCTGAGGAGCACCAGTGCGACACTCAGGACATGATGGTGTCCTCTAGGTCCCCCATCAGTGCTTCATTGCTACCCTTTCTCCCCTGGGATTAGGGTTTCCAAGAAACACCAGACTCCAAGTTAAATCTGAATTTTAGGGAACAGGAAACCACCTGATTATCACACACTCTTTTCCTTCTTGTTATGTATCAAACTGTCATTTACTGACTCATCAGCTCGAGTCCTTTTATTTTTTGACATATTTTATTTTTCATTCTAAAATATTTGGTTCCTTTTTTATATTCACTTTCCTGCTGAAATTCTGACCTTCCCAATCATTTTCTAGTGGTTTACTTTCTGAACCATTTCTGTGAATTTAGTCTAGCTGTGCAGCCAAACAAGAGGAGTGATGCCTGTCTGAATGTCCTGTAGCGGAGTAAGGTGACCACAGTGGGCAATGATCTCAAAGTGGCTAGAAAGGAGGCTCTTGAATGTTCCTAAGACAGTGTGTCTGAGGTGACAGAGATGCCAATAACTTAACATTTTACACTGTGAGCCGCACCCTTCTGTCAAACATAAAAATACATGAAAGCACCACCACACGATTCCGGCAGGGGTCATCCTGGAGTCAGTGTCTGTGCTCTTTTCCAAAATCAGTGTTTGAAATTCTCCTGATTTATGTATTTTGTCTCATTCTGCACTGTGTTCTGGACATTCAGTGTATGAGAGTATGAGTATTTAATTCTCACTTAACACAATCACTTTTGCCTCAGTTTTATTAAAAGTTTAAACATACAGACAAGTTTAAAGCATGCATATTTCCATATCTACCACAAAAAGGTTGAACTACTAATATTTTACGCATTTGAAAATATCCAGCAGACATGCTAACTTTTCAAACCTAAAAACTCTTGCATGCATCTAAGAATAACATTGTATTTCCAGTACCATTTCTAAGAAAATTAAACACACCATCTAATACCCTATCTTGACAGTTTCCCAAATGTTTCTGACAGCTGGCTTATTTTTTCCAGAGTCAGAAGCTATAAAGGATCCCTCCTGGGATCTGATTATGTCAAATATCTGACCTAGAGCCTGCCACATTTTCAGTACACTGACTTTCTGAGAAGCTCAGATCAGCTGCCCGGTACACAGTCTTAAAAAGCCGGAGTTGTCTACTTTCTTGCTGTGTAATTCAATTTATTTCTCTATTGCTTGGCATTTCTTGTATAATTTCTTGTCTAGTTCTAGATATTTAATTAGAATTCCATGAAACATTTTGACAATGTATCATATGCTTCATTTTGCATCGCATCAGAAGCTACATGTGAGCTTTTCATATAAACAGTGAAACCTGGTTAGAAGATCTCATAAAAACAACTTTTGCAATCATCTCTGATCCTTTAACATCATGTAAGCCATTTTTAAAAATCTTACAAGTTTTACCATCATTTTCCAGACTTAGTTACATTAAGGGCTGTGAAGTGATTTTCCTAAATCTATCATTCTGTATATCGAAAGATCAGCATTCTTCAAGTCATCTCAGACAGACCTTGCTTTTCTGTCTGCGTCCATCACTATGAGCTTTTGTTTCCTTCTTGGTATACTACAGTCAATTACAGTGATTTTTTTCTTTAAACTGTTGTAAGTTTGCACAGTGGGAACACACACACACACACACACACACACACACACACGTATGTGTACATCGAGGCTCCTGTCCTTCTGACATTAACCCATTAATGTCAAATGCTATCTAGCTTCTTTTTCCAGGAATGTTACACTTCCCCTGCTCCAAACACAGAAGCAGCCATTTCTCCAAAGAACCACCACGGTTCCTCACGAGTGGGAAAAGGCATTTAGAAACCAAAATTTGGGTCCTAAGAAGGTTCACTGTCATCATGTACAATGTTAAAGATTAAGGACTTTTAAAAGCCTGATTTTCTGCTGGGCACATTGGTGCACACCTGGAATTCCATTACTTGAGGCTCAGGTGGGAAGATTTTAAGTCCAAGCCCATCCTGAACAGCGTAGGGATGCAGTGAGATCTCATACCAAAATAAAAAGCCTGGAGATTTAGTTCAGTGCAAAACCCCTGGTCAATCTCCAGACTCTCCCTACACACACACACACACACACACACACACGCACGCACGCACGCACATTCACAAAAAGGAAAGTTTTAATTTTCCTTATAAATACACTTAAATAAATAAAATGATACAGTAAGAGCTTGTTCCACAAATGCTTCTGTTCACAATTCAGTTCTCAATCAAAAAGCATTTGACAAAATTTCTCTTCTCTACATAAACTCCATTTCAGGTGACAAACACAAAGACAGCATCTCCCCCAAAATTGGAAAATAAAGTTTAGGAGCTGAGTACCTCCATATTCTATAGTCAGTTAAGAAACAATCTGTGTTAAATGCTTGAGTTTAATTGTAGACCTTTTCTCAACAGAAGGTCCAGCTAGTTGTATTAGTACAGTATTCTCACTCCCATGAATGTCAAACATAGAACTGAAGGAAATAAACACATGTGGCGAGATAAGGCTTCAACCGAAGGTGTACCCACATACAACCTCACATATGAGAATTCCTAGAAGACACATACTGGAAAAGGCAGCTTTACAAATGGGAGCCGCTTGCGGCAACTCCACCATCTAGGCCGAGGCCAAGCTTGAGGATTTAAGTTGTTATGAGCACAGGTAGTCAGAGACTTGTAAGAAAACGGTCAGTGAAGATTAAAAGTGGGGAACCTTCAAAGATGAAAAGACAAGTGGTTACACCACTGTAGTGAATCTAACCAAAATGAACAGTGCTCCCGAGACACGACAATGGAACAGAACCATAATTCCCACCACACCAGAGCTGAAGGCTCAGTTCTGCCATTGAACTACACTTCGCTAGTAAATGGGAGGCCGTAACTAAACTAAAACTCTCGGCTCTAGTGAGCTACGGGGCATACAGGATCCTACTCTACCAGCACTGACCTTCTGCACAGAGACGACGTCTCTGCATGGGTCCTCCTACTTCACGACACTTTCTAATACTCTGAGACTATTCAGTTATACAGAATCACAGCAAATTAAATAATACAGGAAAGCAAAAGGAGGACTCCTGTTGGGTAAAATTTTAATTTTAAAAACTAAATTACAAATGACTATAGCTACATTTTAAAATCAAGAGCCTCGCATGGTGATACACACCTGTAATCCCAGCACTGAGGCAGGAGGATCATTCTGAGTTCGAGACCAGCCTGGGCTACAAAGTGAGGTTAAGTCCCACCTGAACTGCAGAGTGAGACACGGTCTCAAAAACACAAAAACATATTTTGTGTATATGTGCACATATCTGTGCACACATACACAGACACGTGTACACATGTATGCGTGTAGCCATGTCCCACATAATGATGCTTTGGTTAGTAATGGGACTGAAAAATTCCCATTGTCTAGTGACATCACAGCCATCATGACACAGCTGTCACGGAGCAGAGCATCACTCATGTGTGGAAACACTGGGACAGACAGACCCACCACAGTGCCTGTCAGGTAAAAGTGCTGAGCACAACATTAGAGAATGACGCTGAACGACGACGTTACTGGGGCATGTATTTACTACACTACAGTCTTATCATTACTGCAGAGCGCGTCTCCTGGATACCAAAATAAGCCTACTCTAAAATACCATGCTGCTTTGCACTGGCAGCAGCTACGCATCCCACATTTGCCACACCTCTTGTGGCACCAAGAGGCCACAGGCAGTGATGACCGAGACTTTCCACATGCACAAAGTGCCCCGTGATTACTGTGCATCCTGGTACACGTGCACACATATGTGTGTGCAGCTATCTGGCTTCGGGGCAGCTTGTCACACAGCTTTGTATCTTCATCCTCTCTGTGAAAAAGGAGTCAGATTGCCAATCTGGGAAATGGGGCCCCACATTTATGCACATTATTAACTCAACAACTACTTAGAAAATCCACATAGGGAAGCTTGCTTAGAAATTTAGAGTCTGAAGTAAAACACATCCAACTATTGTTTATACTTTTCAAAAAGTGAGGCCTTTCACACTTTTTCTATGAATTTAAAAATTGGCTTTAGAATTGAATAATGTTTATAAAATATGACAAGTCAGGGCTCTTCACATTTACACTGATACACTGATCTTACTATTAACTAGGTTTTTTCCTGTAGAAATAAAAAGCAATCTATTAGGAATTTGTGCTGCATTTATTATTGTACTGATCACTGTCTAATAAGGAGCCTTGGATTATTAGCACGATAAATTAAAGCTCACAGGTTTCTCTTCTCTCAGAAATGTCTGATACTGAGTAAAAGAGGAGCCATAGAGGAGAGGTTTCCCGTATTCCTTCCACTTGTAGAGCCTCTCTTTATTATGGACCTTCTTGTGTCTACAAAGGTTTGATCTGTAACTGTAAGCTTTCCCACACTCCATACATTTATAGAGTTTCTCTCCAGTATGGATTCTCTCATGTTCAGTGAGGAATGAATACTGGCTGAATGCCTTTCCACACTGGTTACACCGATAGGGTTTCTCTCCAGTGTGAATTCTCTGATGCCTATAGAGGTTGGACTTGCACCCAAAGGCTTTGCCACATTCTTGACATGTGTACAGCTTTTCTCCTGTATGGATTTTTCGATGCTCATTAAAGGATGAATACTGGTTGAAGGTTTTCCCACATTCATTACACTGGTGGGGTTTCTGCCCAGTATGGATGCGCTGGTGCTCCACAAATGTGGAGATGCGCGTAAAGGTCCTCCCACACTCCAAACACTGGCACAGCTCTTCTCCAGTATGGAGTCTTTGGTGTTCAACGAGCGATGGAAACTGGCTGTAACCTTTCCCACACTGGCTGCATTTATAAGGTTTCTCGCCGGTGTGGATTCTTTGATGCCTGTGAAGCTTTGCTCTACAGTTGAAGGCCTTCTCACATTCAGCACATTTGTAGAGCTTCTCTCCAGTGTGAATCCTCTGGTGCACGGTGAGCGTGGAACACTGGCTAAAAGCTTTCCCACACTCCCTGCAGCGGTAGGGCTTCTCGCCCGTGTGCACTCTCAGATGCTTGATGAGGGTGGAACTGCTGTTGAATGCTTTTGCACACTCGTTACACTTGTATGGCCTCTCCCCAGTATGGATTCTCTGATGTGTGAGCAGAGAGGACCGGTGGCTGAAGGCCTTCCCACACTCACCACACTTGTAGGGTTTCTCACCCGTATGGATTCTCCGGTGCTCCAGAAGATGAAGGCTCTGGCTGAAGCCCTTCCCACACTCCTGACAGACAAAAGACTTTCCTCCTGGGTAAATCTGGAAGTATCTCATGAGACGGAAATTCTGTGTCAGACCTTCCCCGAAGGTGCAACGCACCTTGGGTAAAATCTTCACAGGAACGCTCCGCTGTGCAACAAGGGCTGTGCTCATAAATGAGTTCCCCGCCAGGCCCAGACCCGTGCGGTGCCCGCCCTCACTGAGGGCTACCATTTGCCTAAGGGGTTTCTTTTGTTGCTCCTGTACTATCCTGCCCTCAAAATCCGCACCTTCTCTGAAGTCGACATTCCAAGGACCAAAGTTAGAGGATTTTTTCTTTACTATTCCATGACATATTTCTTCAGTAAAAATGTCTTGTCTGACAGGCACTGCTCCTATGTCAGGCCAACTCTTGAAATCTGAAATGAACCAGAAGAATTAATGCCTCCTAGAAAAGACGAATAAATAGATTAGTGGGGTAATAAAATTAGCAACAGTGCATACAAAAAATGTGGCAGCATCTGATGTCTAAGGCTGACCTGAATCTAGTGGAGAGAGAAGGAAACAGGTGAGGAGTGCTGTGGAGAATCCATCGGGCAGTGACAAGGACGCACCCAGGGAGAAGTAAAGCTGGGCTCAGAAAGAACAAGCCATGCGGAAGGTGCAGGTTACAGGGCCAAGGCATGTGGTAAGCTCCAGCTGAGCACCACGGGTTCTTTAATCTGTCGTCATTTCCTACCCTGTGTACACTAGGCAGTAAGCAGGTAAGCTGTCTTTCCTCTGTCCCTCCTATTTCTGCTCTGATTGTATGTATTTTTCCCATCTTCCCTCTGAAACCCCACATAATTTTAAACTATTTGGATTGTTTTCCTTGTATATTGTGATTTCATAAAGTAGTCTGTTAAAAGGCAGGCATTTGGGTTTTAACTTTACAATAGTCTTCAGGACATGATCAAGGAGATAATATCTGATTTAAGTTCAAGATTCTGATTATAAAAAAAGAGGAAAAAAATCAGCCACCTGCAACAATCTATCCCTTGGAGGAAGAATACTTTCATACTATTCTTCCATCATTTTTCCCCATTCTATTAGGTCACGAGGAAAAACACAAACATATTCATTTCCTTTAATAAACTGCAACCAAGAAAAAAAAAGCTGCAAGCAGAAGACTAGATGTTTTTGTAGAAATTTTTGAGCAATAGAAACTGAACACAGAGCTTCATATATGCTAGACAAGACCTCTACAGTGAATGATACCCCCAGCCCTTGAAAAAATCTTTTGAGAACAATGAAAATCTAAAATACATGAATTTGCCCGGACCCTGGAGGGTGGCCGATCCTCACCTACCCACCCCCTCAGACTCCAAACCCTGGAGGGCGGCCAATCCTTGGCCTGCGTTTGCCTTTGACCTTAAAGATCTGCAGAGTATTCCCTCCATAATGAAATGCCACAACTAGATACATCAACATGATTTACCATTATCTTATCAATGATTATCTGTTTATATTCTTTCAACTAAATATCTCATCACACCTATTCAATTTAGACCCCAAAACAGCCCACCTAGAAAATACAAAATAAAAATCACCTTGAGAAAACAAATGAACGAAAATCTATTTGCCTCTTTCATTACCCCCATACTAATAGGGATGCCCATCGTAATTATTATAATATTCCCTAAAATTCTATTCTCCTCTTCCAAGTGCCCAATAATTGCCTAATCACTGTCCAACAATGAACAATTAAACTAATCCTAAAGCAAATAATAACAATACATAATACTAAAGGATGCACTTTAGCATTAATATTAATCTCCCTCATCTTATTTATCGGCACCACCAACCTTCTAGGCCTCCTGCCCAACCCCTTTACCCCAACAACACAACTGTCAATAAGCTTCTGCATGGCTATTTCACTATGACCGGGAACAGTGATCTTAGGCTTGTGACATAAAATCATCAGTAGTACATTTTCTCCCTTAATTCTACTCATCCCAATACTCAAATTATTGAGACAATTGGCTTATTCATCCAACCTATTGCCCTAGCAGTTCGATTAACCACTAAATTACTGTTGGACACCTACTCATATACCTAATTGGAGGAGCCACATTAGTACTAACCTCTATCAGCCCTTCAACAGCTTGAAGGGCATTATTTTATTATTTACATGACAATGACCCACCAAACGCATGCCTATCATATAGTAAGCCCAAGCCCCCGACCTCTGACAGAAGCGTTATCTGCTCTTCTGCTCACATCGGCTTAATTGTATGATTTCACTTTAACTCTAAGACACTACTAATATTAAGCTTCCTAACTAATGCACTCACCATATATCAATTATGATGGGATATTGTACAAGAAGGAACATACCAAGGGCACCATATAACAATCGTACAAAAAAAGGACTATAGAATGGAGTCATCTTATTTATTATTTCCGAAGTATTTTTCTTTTCAGGTTTTTTCTGAACCTTTACCACTCCAGCCTAGCTCCGACTCCAGAACTGGGTGGGTTCTAACCCCCCGCAGAGATTAAACCCCTGACCCCCACGGACGTGCCCCTTCTTAACACGTCAATTCTTCTAGCACCAGGCGTATCAATCACTTGATCACACTGGAGTCTAACAGAAGGAAACTGAAACCAAGTAATTCAAGTTGTGATCATAGAATTATGTTAGGTATTTACTTCACCCTGCTTCAAGCTTCGGAATACGTCTAAACACCCTCCTCCATCTCAGACGGAGTTACGGTCTCCCTTTGCGTAGCCACAGGATTCCCAGCCTCCTCCGCCTGCTGTACGGTCACTTCACACCACAGCTCGGCTTGGAAGCAGCCACTTGGTACCGACTATTCCTCTATGTCTCCATCTACTGATGGGGCTCACGCTTTCTTAGGGCAGCCCAGACCCCTGACTTCCAGTCAGTGGGCCTCAGAACAGCCCTGAGAGAAAGCAGTAAACATTATAATCTCACTCCCAACCATCCGTCTCCTGACCTTTCTACTAATCACAATGGCTTTCTGATTTCCTCAGACAAATGCCTACACTGAAAACACCAGCCCTTACAGATGTGGTTTGACCCAACCACATCTGTATGACTACCATTTGCAATGAAATTCTTCCTCTCACAATCACTTTCCTCCTATTTGATCTGGATATTGCCCTTCTAGCTCCACTACCATGGGCACCCCAAATTAATAATCCAGAGCTGATACTGTTAGTCTCACTAATATGAAGTTTAATCTTAACATTAGGCTTGGCATACGAGTGAACCCAAAAAGGACTAGAATGAACTGAATATGGGAATTAGTTTAACACTCAAAACAAATGATTCTGACTCATTAGATCACATTTTAATCCATAACTACCAAAATGTCCTCAATTCACTTTAACCTAATTATACCTTATACTGGATCATTCTAGGTACAATAATATACCAAACCCACATAATATCCTCCCTCCCATGCCTAGAAGGTCTAATACTATCAACACTTACCTTTGGTGCCCCAGGTATACCTCACTCACACTGCCCTACCCTTTGCCATCCCTGTCATTACTCTTGTATTCCCGGCCTGCAAAGCAGCTGTAGGGCTGGCACTCCCAGTCATAATTTCAAACATTTATGGAATTGGTTACATACAAAACTTGAACTTACTACAATGCTAAAAATTATCCCTACACTTATACTCATCCCAACTCCTTGGCCACCTAATAATATGAATCAACACAACACTGCAAAGCCTACTAATTGCATTAATAAGCCTAACAATTGTAAACAAACTGGAAAGACATCATTGGACAAAACTATTCACTAAACTTTTCCTCTGACTCACTCTCCTCCTCTCTATTAGTTTTAACATGACTCCTTCCTCTAATAATTATCTCTAGTCAATACCACTTAAATGAGACAGAAGTACAAAAATATATATGTCACCCTACTTGGTTATCTCCAAACTTTTTAATCATAAAATTTCAGCCACAGAAATATTATTACTCTATATGTTATTTGAAGCAACCTTAATCCCAACCCTAATCATTATAACCTGATGAGGGAATCAAACAGAACAAATGAAAGCAGGCCTAATATTTCCTATTCTGTACATTAATAGGATCTCTGCCACTCCTAGCTACCCTAACCTACCTACAAAACCTCAGGCTCACCACATTTCCTCCTATTCAACTATAACAACATATTAAGGCTCACAACTTGATCCAGCAAACATGACTAGTGTGCATAACACGCTTTATAATAAAAACACCACTTTATGGCCTCCATCTGTGGCTTCCAAAAGCCCATGCAGAGGCTCCAATTGCAGGTTCAATAATCCTAGCAGCCATTCTGCTGAAGTTAGGGGGCTACAGAATAATGCGAATCTTACAACTCTTAGACGCCTTAACAACCCCACCCTCAGCACCCCTGCATTCTCCTGTCCCTGGAGGCTCATCATAACCAGTCCCTAACAGACCTAAAGTGCCTCACAGTCACACGACATTAGGTACCACAGCTATTCTAACCAAGCCCCATTAAGTTTTATAGGGTTAACAACTCTAATAATTGCCCAAGGCCTCACATCCTCCTACTTTGTCTCACAAATTCTAATTGTAAACACATTCATAGCTGAACTGTATGCTTATTATATTCTTCTGCTTAGGAGCTATCGCAACACTATTTACTGTCGTCTGCAGTATCATACAAAATGACATCCAGAAAATGGCAGCATTTTCCACCTCTCCTCAAGCAGGCTTCATAATGGTGACCACTGTGGTTGATTGGCCATACCTAGCTTTCCTCCATGTTTGCACACAGGCCTTTCTCAAGGCTATGCTTTTTATACGCTCAGGCGCAGTCACTTAAAATGATGAACAAGATATTCAAAAAACAGGACTCCTCAGAATTCTGCGTCTTCCCTCTTCCTCTCTTGTCATTGGCAGTCTGGCTCTCACAGGCTTACCACTTCTCACAGGCTTTTATTCCATGGACCTAACCGTGGAAGCTGCCACATCCCGTATCAATGCCTAGGCCCTGACCCTTCCTCTCACTGCCACATCTCTTAACAGTTGTTTATAGTTCTCGAATCTTATTTTTTGTTTTATCAGAAAACCTACAATATACTTTTCGATGATGATGATGATACTCATCGATGAAAATAATCCTATGCTAGTTAGTTCTATCAACGCTTGGTAACCGGAAGCATCTTCACAAGATTTATTTCAAGTACTATCCCACCTACAAGTGGCTACCAAATAACTACACAAAACTATCTGAAAACCTCAGCACTTATGGTAACGACTTTTACAACTGTAATAGAACTAAACTCAATAACCTATAATTTAAAGATAAGTTTAACTTCTCAAACATATTAGGCTACTTTGCGACACTCATTCATTGACTATTTCCTTACGAAACTTACTAATG